TTTTTTAGAAAAAAAAACAATTAATCATTTAAGCCTCTGTTTCATCAAAATGTAAAATTAGAAATAGGCGTTTCTGTAGCATAGCTCCTAATTGATGTATTCCATTTTATTCTTCATGTTGTAGGTTGTTAAAAATCCAATAGTCAGAATTCAAACTTACAGCCAGGTCTCCATGTCCTATTATAGTTCATCCTAAAAACCTGCAGATCAGTCAAAACAGAAAATTTTTGCTTGGTTTTGAGGTGAATCGGGTGGAGATTTGCCGCCAAAGTTTCTCTTTTCTTGTTGTTGTAGGGGAGTGTCAGCCTGGTGATTAGGGCATAGAGCTTGGAATCCTGAGGTTCTGAGTTCGAGCCCCACTCCCATAGACTGTCACTCTTGGTCCCCTGAGCAACAACCCTTAAACCGACACTGCTCCCCGGTTGCCCCACGATGGCAGCCCACTGCTCCCCAAGTGGATGTGTTAAATGCAGAGGTACATTTCTCCAATGTGAGACCAATATAGTTCAATTATTATTATTATTACTCCTGGCTAATACCAATTTCAGTTTACATTTAGGTTCCAAACTTAAACACTGATATAACTTTTAATAACAACTGTAATATAAACCTGCCTTTTTTCTGAACTTATTACGATTTTGTGCATAAACCAGAATTATTCCCTTTTATACAAACCTTGTTTCCCTTAACCTGTCTATCGCTTTTATAGTGCTAACAAGTAGGGATGGGAATCGAAACCTGGTTCCTGTTCAGAACTGGTTCTGTGTGTTCCAATTCCATGGCACTGTTTGGCAGCTCGCTTAACGATTTTCTTAACGGTTCCAAGCAGCACCAGAACCTCTGGGCAGCTACGTCACTTTTTTTACGCAAGTTACGCACACTGCATTCAGTAACCAAGTAGGACGTGATCAGGCGTAAGTCTAGAAAAGCGAGACAAAAGCGCTCAAGGCGATAGAACGTTTGGCTTCATTTTAAGGAAGAGAAAGATGACAACAAGGCGGTTTACAATCATTGCAAAGTGACAATTACATTTGCAGGATAAAATACATCAAACATGCAGAAACACCTGCGCACACAACATGGCATACGTTTTTACAAATGCCATGTTTTTGATGCTTCCAGACAAAAGCTAAAGTTACGACTGGCATGGAAGGCAGCTCTGGTGGTAAGTAGCTAGTTTTATATCACTGGCGGTGCCTAATGTTGTTCCTAGTAAATAATATGCCATTTCTGGAAATAAACCCATTTCCTATCTCTCTTTGGGGTTATTTAATGTGCTATGAAGTTGCTCTGCAATTCAGGGAACAAGAGAAAGGTGACGCCTTTTTTTTTTTTAAATCAGGGGGAGATGTGTTTATTTCCCGAAATTGTACAGTAATGCTTTTTCATTAAACGGATGCCTTCTCCATTAGATTTAGATGACTGTGACGAGACGGGTAGCCTGGTTGGCTCAGAGGCTGGCAGCTCCCGTTTACTGCCTTCTGTTTTTGCCGAGGCAGGCAGAAATAGAATGTCCCAGGCGAAGGTAGACGAATGTCACCGTTCATTGTTTCACAGAATCAATACGGAATCGAACCGTTTCAGAGAATCGATAAGGAATCTAATCATTTCACAGAATCGATAAGCAAATCGGAATCGTGAAAATCTTATCAATTCCCAACCCAACTAACAAGAGTACATCAAAATACATACAGTATGTTCATGTTTTATAGACGAAAATTTGGAAGATCTCAGTTTTGATGATGCATGCATTAGAAATATAAACTGTAGAATTTGCAGCCTCATTAGTGAGAAATTTGGTGCATCTTTAATAGTTAGAACTAAGTTGTTCTTGTCAGTGTGCTTTTGTTCTGTTTCACTTTTATGTATTTATGTCCCCTTTTCAGTGTGGAGAATCAGATTTTTCAGTACCTAACTCAGATGGAAAAATAAGGACTCCTCAGTGTTTATTTATTTGTCTGACATAAAATAGGGAGGGTTTCCTTCATTTCCCCAAAAACTGCTCATGTATCACAAATTTGTTTTTAAAATGTTCTAAGTAAATAAAGTTTTGTTGAATGATGTCCAAAGTTACACAAAAGGAGCAAAGATGAAATTAACAGAGACATAAATGATGCATCAACATTCAAAGACGATCAATTTAACAGACACGACCAAAATGTAAGCCAAGTCTGTCCAATAATCCTCACACGGTTGCATATAACGGTGTTATAACAAAGACAAAAATGTTGGTGCTCCAGTTACTTACTGTGGAACAATGGGGAAAAAAGACACAGTCGACAATAATAAAACATTTAATCTTAATAAAATTGTTAGGATAACCGCGTATTGTCGTTAACTGCCAGCTAACAGCAGCTAGCCAAGATGCTGGGTAGAGCCAGAGGTTCTAAACACCAAAACATCTCAGCAGCGGTATTAATCAATCGGGAAAACATTTATATTTCAACTGTATTCATTTATTTTTTCTTCTTTGCTTTAATCTGACCTATATTCTATATGTTATAGCTACAGCAATGTGATGTTTCGGGGGGTAAAAACAAGAAACCAAGCAGTGAAATGTGGCTGGTTAGCCGAGCAGCTAGCTGAAGCAGAACCCGAAGCCCCCCCATCATCAGCGGACACTTTTATCCGTCCATCCGCCGCTCAACAGACGGCTACGGCTAACAGAACTGTTCGCTCTGGCATTTAGTTTATATATAACGTCAGCTTTAATACACAACTATGTAGTAAATAAAGGGGGAGACTAAAAACAGCGTCAGTGTGAACAAAGACGGGGGAACACCAGCGGGCTGAAGGGAGCTTACCTTTGGCTCGGTGCTGCTGCTGCTGCTGCTGCTGCCGCTTCCTCCGCCTGCAGCCCGAAAGCTACTGTAAACTGGCAGGGCCCAGACAGCTGGGGCACGTGACGCGCACGTGACCAGTGGAATTATTTATACCAACAACTGTGGAGGTTTAACTTTGATCTTCCTCCACGTGTGGATAAAAATACAAGCTCTTTATTGTGAGACAAAGACACGCTTCGTTGGTTGGCAATGCTTCTGCTGGCAGTCACAGAAAATAAAGACTGATTTGGAAGAAACAGATGCATTGGAGGAAGATGTAAATTAAATTAATGGGATGCAAATCATTTGCATCGTTTACAAAAGCATGGAAAACGATTTTATACATTTTAATAATATTAGAAATAAAGAATAATAAAATATATCATACAAATTTGGGCTCAGTTAGGGAGCAACCTGTGTTGAGTTCATGACCAATCTGACTCCTTACATCTGTACCTTACGCCTCGAATGATCTAAAGCCAGTTCAGATTGGATGTTTTGTAAAAGAGAAGAAAAAAAAAAACATTTTGATTCAGTCTGCCTTCCATTTGAAGTTCGTTTATAATCTATTCTTTTATTTCTAGTTTAGTTTGCAAAAGAAATAAATAAGCAAATTATAATACTTATTTTTTTACATAGTAGTTATTGCCAACTTTAGTAACTATACATAATAAATTTGTTTCATAGTCTTTTTAAGATGTTTATATAACTTTATATTCCACTACATTCAATATTTTGTTTTCTAAATGTATTTATTTATATTTAAACCTGCTTCTCGTGCATATCATTTCCATCTAAATCTCATCTAATATCAGCTATACATAATTGAAGTTTGCTATTTGTATGTTTTCTTTTATGCTTTTGGCATTTCGATGTTGTTGTTTTTATTTTTATTTATATACCTGGCTTTTGTTTTGCTTTCTATGTTTTTTACTTTTGGGTTTTAGTTTTACTTTGTCTTTCATTTGTTGAGTTTTACAAATAACCTCTGTTTGACAGAAATTCATGTAATGTGCCAAAACAACTCAAACAACACAAAGATTGCATGTAAAACATGAAGTGAGACAGTAGAATATAATAACAAATACTTCCAATAAAAGTATTTGCATAAAGTATACATTTTATTTTTGCATATAAGGCTTTTAGACATCCCATAAAACAGTATTGTTATTTATTTGTTATTCAGAGCAGTACGCATATGGAAGAGGATTAGGGCCACTGAGAAAATAAAAAAGTTAACTGATTTTTAATATTATCTCAGTTTAATATGGGGAAAAAAGTCAGAATTCTGATTTTTTTCTCATAATTCTTAATTTTTTTAAATCAGAATTTTGACAGCTAACAAAAATGTTAGCATCAAGCAGTAGCAATGTCTGTTTTAGAGACTAGCTCTCTTGTTTTAATGAGCTTCTGCTCCTCCGTTAATAAAATAGCATCACCGGGGACCCCTCGCACACCAAAATAAGACCAACCACATTCACCAATGTGTTACTGGCCCTCCCAAACAACTCACATCTTTGTCAGGGAAGCTCAGTGCTCCCACATCTCTTCCTTCATGGTGGCCATCCACATTAAGATCCAAAATTCTGAGATTGAAGTCAGAATTCTAAGAAAAAGTCAGAATTCTGAGATTAAAGTCATAATTCTGAGAAAACGTCAGAATTCTGATATTAAAGTCATAATTCTGAGAAAAAGTCAGAATTCTGAGATTTAAGTCAGAATTCTGAGGAAAAAAAGTCAGAATTGTGAGATTAAATTCAGAATTTTGAGATTAAAGTCAGAAGTCTGAGAAAAAAGTCAGAACTCTGATATTACAGTCAACATTCTGAGTAACAGTCAGAATTCTAAGATTAAAGTCAGAATTCTGTCTTTTTTTTCATACCGGTATTATACTAAAATACTATACTGAAAATTTTAAAATCAGTTAACTTTCTTTGTTTTTTCAGTAGCCCTAATCCTCTTCCCTTACATTGGTATATGTCGTACATATCTAGATTTTATATTAAAATGTATTTTCTTACTTTAAAATGTGTCTTTAACCATTACATAAATTAAACTCTAAATGCATTGAAGATAAAATTCTACAGAAAAACTGTCAAATGTACAAAAGCGGTGTTCAGAGGCGTAGTTCCTTCTCCACTACACAAGGGGGCAGTACGCACAAAACCTTAGCTGATATTTTCTACCCTACCAAAGACATGGCTGCGCCCTTGGTCTTTAGACGCGATTTACTGTCTTTTGCCAGAATATTAGGTGGAATTTCACAGTTGGTATGTCAACAATTAAGTTTCTTGTTTTATACACTGTGCTTAATCAGTTATTTTTGATTGTTAGGTTAGAGAGTGAAAAGATAACTGGTCATTAAAACCGCAATTTCGGTTACTCGTGGCTCCCTTCACTTCGTGCTGTTACACAATAAATGCTATAATATGTAGATTTCTACTAAATTAATTGTGTTTACAGGGACCTCGGGGTTTGAATTCTTGTTCTCGTCACAGGAAATGCGGTCAAACTCGGTAAGTTTTTGTCTGTTAATCTGTTGGCTTTGAAACTGACTAATAAAGTTACCTATTTTCAAGCCCATTTAAGATTTGCGTTCAAATCACGCTTGAAATGATAAAGGAGAAATAATTATGTACTGTGAACTTAAGGTTGAGGTTATTGATGGGAATAAAAAATATTTGATCCTGCAGCAACAACTGTAAATTATACTTAGTTTCATTTAATTCTAAATTAAGGGTATTTATTTACCAGCTTTAAATGGAAACCATGTCTGTGTTCAGCCCTCCATCTCAACTGCTATATGCATCTCTGTCCAGGTTCCAGCTTCTACAGTCATCCAGCACTTTCTTCCACACAGCCACACATTTATCTTCAACACCTTTTACAGTAAGATGCATATAACATTTTTTTTTTTATTAGAAATGGGATTTATAGCAAAGAGCCATTGTATTGAACTGTTTTTATATTCTTGGCCTGCTTGTTTTTTCACACAGATCACAGCCACAGATGAGCCTGACACACTCTTCCAGAAAGTGGTTGTTCTGGTCAAAGGTCATGACAGAGCGGTCTTGGACAGCTACGAGTTCTTCGCCACCATGGCGGCTAAAGAACTGGGCATCACTATGGCCAAAGTGTGAGTCTGAGTACCAATGCACCAAAAGCTCAAAGTATTTTCATTGGTTGTAATTTGGGGATTTTTTTTCAACCAGTTTTGAGCCTCCCAAGGACATAGAGAGACTGACGCTTTTGAAGTCAGTGCACATCTACAAGAAACACCGAGTTCAGTATGAGATGAGAACACACTACCGATGTATTGAGGTGGGGGCTTGTCCTGTTAAGTGGATAAAAAAAAAAAGTGGTGGTGCTTTTTAATAACCCATTTGTTGATTTTTTTTCCCCCCTTAGCTACATCATATTACAGGCTGCACAGCACAGGTGTATCTTGAATATATCCAGAGGAACCTCCCTGAAGGTGTAGCCATGGAGGTGACAAAGGTAAGGAAGAAAGGAACCAGTAAAAAAAGTAACTTACTAAAAAGGTTGAGGTTTTATAAATGAACTTGACTTTTCTCCTCTGTTTGCAATTACAGACAGCCATGGAGAAAATTCCAGATCACATCCTTGAACCCATGTGGAAAGACCATCCTATTGATGACAAACCAAGCAAATAGGTCATCTGGTGAATTTTTCTAAGTTGTAAAAAGTTTAAGAAGCTTTATGTATAAAGCTATATGTATAAATCTGCAAGATCCTCATACAAAGCTGATTACTGATCTTTAGCTACATATTTTGCATACATTTATCAGTGTGTTAAAAATGTGTTACTCTTGTTCAGTTCTAAACCACTTCTGTGTGTCAAAGTTTGTTTCTAAGTAAAATTTATAAAATCTTATGTGGAATGTAGTTTTTTTCTGTTGTAATTCTGCTGTAATACATCGTATTTGATTCATTGAATGTGTGTTGGGCATTTAAATAATGTTGACATGACAAGACCTGCACACATTTATTTATTGTATTTAGGCACATAAAAATCACAGCACAAAGTTTCATAGATGCATAAAAAACACAGCATGCTCAAATCAAGTGACTAGTATTTAATAAAAACAAGTAATTTGCTCATTTATATAAATCATGCAAAATGTAACTCGATATTTTCAAGTTGCACATTACAGATCATGTTATATGTAAAGGAGGGTTATCAGATCTTTCTGCCCATATACAGATTCTAAATGAGCTGGTACTGACTGAGAAAAGTGTGTATTTCTTTGTTAGCAGAATGCTCAGTAATCTGTCAGTGGATACAGTTTTATGTATAAATCCCTGAAATGTAAGTACTTTGTTTTTTCAAAGAAACATTAGTCTTAAGTTTAGCTGCACTTAAATATCATGAATAGAATTTTCTAAATTGATTCTAATTTGACTTGCAGCAATTTATAGATGTTAATTGTTCAAATAATGTGAAGTTTTAAATTCCCAGAAGTGATGGTTTCAAATGCTGAAGCTATAAACACATGTATATAAATTTAAGTTTTCATCCTTGCAGTGGCACACAGGCACAGTGTGGTGATCTCTAAATAGACCGAATTTAGCTCGTCTACTCTGAAACTGACAATTAAGTTGGAGCTGAAATGCACCACTGCAATTCTATTAAAGTAAAAAGCACCTTCATGAATGAGCATCCTTTGCTAGCTCTGTACAGTTTTAAGACTGGAAATTATCCAGGATACATTTAAATGCCATACTGCTGTTGGATACAGTTAACACAGGCCTTACTAACAATCAGAGTTCAAATGCAAAAAAACATTCAAAATATTACATCCAAGCAGTCCTTTGCAATACTGCACAAGCTGATATAAAACATTCTTATAAAGAACAATGAATGGTCTGATCTTTGCAGCTCAGGCATAAACACAAACCCATAAATACTTAGCAGCCTTCCGATTGGGATGAAACTTCGATGTAGCTGCGTCGCCTGTCCTGAAAAAAAAAAAGAATCTCTCTTTGTACGAGAGGCATTAAAGACACATCAGGAGGCTCACCTTGTCGATTGAAGCACTGCATCTTCTCAGATATCATGCTGCTGATCGAGGAGAGAAGGGATGTGAGGGAGGGTCGGGGCTCGTGGGGCCAGGGAGGTTAACTGTACTTTGTGCCCTCCCACCCCCTTTAGGAAACAACGAAAGTCAGTTTGTTATAATCAACCACAGGGACTACAGAGGTGGAGGACAAAAGCAAAAAAATAAATGCTGAGAAATCTGAAGAGATAAAGAGACGATGGGAGACTGCTGCAGCTGGAACTGTTTCCCCCCTTGGGTCTGCAGCAGAAATAAAATATTCTGCAGCATCTGTGTGTTTCCAAGCATAAATACGTTTGATCGTGAGGAACATTTAAAAGTTCTGGTTTGGATCAATGAAGAAAACTTGAACTTTAGGGAATAAATGTGAATTCAATTTAGCAATGTTTGGCTTTTTTGAATAAATTAGCCATTCCTAAATGAGGATGTAAAACACCTAAAGCTTATTTTTTGTATTCATCATTCCAAACAAGTTTATTTAAGGCATTTCTGATTAGTTTAGTCACTAAATTATGACATTAGTAGCTGCAACTTTAAAAGGCTACTAAGCCATCAGAACAGAACAATTGTTTATACATTTTTACATGATTGAGCTATCCTTAATGTCCTGCTCACATCTGAAGTGCACAGGAAATTACCATTTTGTTTCTTTTTAAAGAGTTAAAAAAAAAGTTCAGCCATTTGTCATCTCAGATTATCCTTTCAGAATGATGTCCTCCTTTTAGACATGCTACCACTGATTTTTATATAAAATGAGCATTTAAAAGCCTTGATATTGGAGTGGTCCTGAGTCCTCCAGTAACATTAGCTTCCATTACACTTCTTGGAAAACCCTTTAATATGCTCTCCAGTTACCTATTCAGATGTTTTTGATTATTGTTTCCCTCATTTTTGCTTAGAAATGTCTTACTTCAATAGATGTAAGAAATAATAACGTGCTACTTTTAGTAAAGCACTAGAGCTAGCACTTTTTAGCTCCAGAGAGTATAGAAAAACTTCTATACAAACATATATGGTGGCTTTTAAGTAAAAATACTTGGATAAAATGTTAAAGTATCAAATAACATAGGCTCACGCTGACGTTTTTTTCATGGTTTCTTCCAAAAGTTTTCCTACACCTTTTAAATTCTCATTTTGGGTCATAATATGAGACATTCCTAAGCACAATTAGGATTTAATGTCAGACCAACAAAAAATAGCAGATCATTGTGAAGTGTAGATAAGTCTAGATGTAATTTATGGGGCGTAACCTGGAAGCTTGGTACTGATGGAAACCAGTTTTCAGGTTTTTATTAGTGAATAAAGTCAGAAAATCAACTATTATTTTTCTTCCAGTTCACAACTGCACACTACATTGTGTTCGTCCACCAGCACAAAACTCTTATAAGATTTATAGCTGGCGGCAAATTGACAAAAATGGGGAAAAGTTCAATACTTCTAAAGATTTTGAAAGGCATTGACATGCAAATTGCTTCGGACTTTTTTGTGAATGAACAAATAAGGAGAAGTAGAGTTTATTTACTTTTTGTTTTATTTTATATTCTTTCACGACCGTCTCAGATCTTAAACGTTTTCATAAAACAAATTCACAGATTCACAATATTTATAGTAATTACAATAGGTAAGGATGTAACACCTCAAAAAACTAAACAGAGTAAAGAGACTAACTTTTAACTAAAGTGAATACTAATTATGCAAAATGCCTTAGTGTCATGTCACAACAGATTGCTGGAGACAACACGAATCTTTCAAATAGCAGTACTCATAACTTGAAATAGCAGCACATTAAATATATATAATCTATATTACAAAATGTAATATTCACGAATACTACAAATTCAGTTGTCTTATCACTTGACAAATGAGCAAGTGTTTAACAATATTGTTGCACTATTTTGCGACATAATACATAACTACCTCAATGTAACAAAATGAAAGACAAGGGCGCTCCAAGATGTGAAATTAATCCTTGAGGGTACAGTGTTTTTCCCTCTCCCCCTCTTCTGCCATTTTCTGATATACAGTGTCACCATTTTTTTTGTCTTTATCGAGAAATCAGGAAAGAAAGTTAAGGCTAACAGGTGACAACAATAACAGAACATTTACCAAACAGTATTCTTTCCCCTTTAAGAACGTTTAACTACGAACATCTTTTAACAATATCAAAAGTCTCTGCAGTGCCAACATTATTGATGAGCAACACAACGTGTTAATGCGTTCACATTGCCGAGTTATTCATCGTTTTATATGTCTCCAGTGGGAACAAGTAAGTTTCCTCCCATTTCCGGAATGAAATACCAATAATACTTGTCCACAGACTGGATAATAGATATTTGAGTTTGGGGATGATTCAATCCATTTTAGGCCACTCATACTATGTCAGGTGCTCATTTTATAGCTTTTATTCAGTTAAAATCGGCGGCCAACAGGGGGGCCTGGCCACCTCTGGCCTCTGCCAGGTGGGGGGTGAGGCGGAGGAGAGACCGGTCCATTGTGGTAGCTGTGTAAAAGGATAAAATCACACATTGGATATTTGGCTTTGGCCAATAGGGGGCACACTCTGGTAAGAGCAGCAATCTCTAGGCAAGTTTCAGTAAACTCTATACATGTGAAAAGAAAAAGATGTTTTTGTAGTTTAATCCTTCATGCACGAATAATATAGCTTGATGCTGTAAGTGTACTATGTCTGTTTAATGACTTATTTAATAACTAGCAAAAGTGTGTTGAAGAAAGGCATATATTAAAGCAAGAATATTGTATTTAGTTCTAGCACTTGAATGATTATGTGCTAGATCACAAATAAGTGTAAAAAATATCAAGCTAAATTTTTAAACAATGCAATAACCATGTTGAGCAGAAAAGAACAGTCTAATCTTAAGAGCCTTTTCACTCACAGGGCTTTTCCACCAAAGAGGCTCGGGCTGAAAACCACAGCTGGTGCTTAGGTTCTTCGAAAGAACAGTTTTGCTTCTCTACCAACCCAGAGCAAAGTTACAGACATGTTATTACATTAATATAGGCACACAAATTATATTATTGCTTCCAGCATCCTTGCAAACAGACCCCCCCATTTCTACCCTACTCTGTTAATATTTTTTTAAACATGCAGCTCTTCAATCCTAATCAGCTGAGCTCTCATGTACAGCAGCAGCAATGGAAAACAGCATGTAGTTCATTATATAAGCAGTCCAAGAAGTAAATAAAAGATCAACTGTATTAAAAAGTCCATCAGAAAATGAAATTATGGTTTTAAGGGAAAGTTGTCATCTCTACTTTAACTCCAATATTGGTTAACTAAGCTAACAAAGTCAGCATCTATTATTCTGCTTATTAAAGCACTATATTTCCTGTTTCCTTTTATATTTGCTTTTAATTGATGAGAAACAAAACTGAAATGAGCAGTTTTTAAAATATTAAACATTACAAGTGAAGAACCAGAAAGTGGTTCTTTCCTATGTTCCAGCAGCAAAGTGGTACCAGGCTGCTCCAGTTTCTAAGATCCAAGATTTCACTTTGTGTTTGTGGAAATATAAAGTACCAGGTCTTAGTAAGCTCTAGCACCAGGTAAGCCCAGGAACCAATTGGGTGAAAAAGGTCCCATAGAGTAATGAATCTCAAAAGTAAGACAACAAAGAGCCAAGAAAGGTTAGGAGAAAAGTGTTGTATGGAAACTGGAACCGGTCTTACCCTCTTGGACCACGGGGGAGGAAGTGTGGTGGAGGGCCAGGCGGTGGCATGCCTCTGCCTCTAGGGTGTGGTGGCCGCCCTCTGAAACCAGGGTGACCTGGAGGGGAGGGTGGAGGGGGTCCATGCCTTTAAAAAAAGCAAAAGAAAAATCATGCGTGCTTTTTAAACAATACTGACACCTGTATCATTTACTTCTGAACAATATCTAGAATGTAAATAATAGCATAGAGAGAAACGTAAAACAATGGACTGAACTGCATTTTATATATATGATTGTGAATTAATGTAATCTGTCTATTATATTACCTTAAGGCAGGGTTGTATGCTTGGCTTTTTCTCACCGAGAGCATAGGCTCACAAATTAAATGTAGCAGTACTAAGAACTTTCTGGCATAGCACGATTTTTTTAACTTAAAATTAACCCGGGTTATGATTCATATTTTATGAAGTTCTCCTTCTTTAAAGGTATTTTGAAGGATTTTTTAAAAGACCCGCCCTGTGCACTTAAAAAAAAAAAAATGCACGTGCAAGAACATGCACAAGACCATTTCCCCTTGTGCACGCCCTGTTTAAAATGTGCTGTTCTCATAGCTCAAACAAGCTTACTGTGTCCACATATAGCGGGTACTATATAGCAAACTGACCATTCATACAGATGATCACTGCTTTTTGCTCCATTGGTCACGTAACTCCTCCTCCTCCATGCGGTACCAGCGCCTTCTCTGTTATTAGTCGAATCCCATAATGCTTTGCAAGCAGAGCTCTCCATGCACAGAATTCTGGGATATATCTGCCTCTTCTGCCTTTCTTTTCTTCTCATACACTTCATAGACATTTTTCTCTTATGACCCTCTGCCATTTTCAAAGAACTGTGGTGAGAAAGGTGAGCTTCAATGACTGTCTGAAACTGTAGCTCACCACAGATATACGACTGTAAGTGCAAATGCGCAGAAAAATATAGCGAACGGGACGAGCACATACAGACGGCCTTACGTAAACATATCACCAGAATGATTGACAATTAGGAGGACCAATTATTTAGATGATCAATCCGGAAATAAAAGATCATCCTCTAGTCTATACCTTTTAATGGAGGTTTCTAATCACAATTGCCAAATTACCTGCCTGCTTCTGCCCTATGCAATATGTACAGAACATAAGGTTGTCCTCAAAGTCATGTCCTGTTTGCTGACATCTCCCATAAAAAATTTTAATAAAGACCTTGTATCTTCATCTCTTCAAATAATAATTTATACAAGGTTTACATTAAACTTCGTCATATGGCATCTATTGCACTTACTTTTCTTTAGGACAAGTCATAATGATTATATATTAATTTTGATTTTCTAAGATTTCTGTAGTTCACAGAGGCACATAGTTGATGAGGTTGTTTATGAAATAAATGCAGGGAGGATGTATTTTAGTGCAACAGGTTCAAATAAAAGAAAATTTTGGCTAAACATTGCATTTACATCCCAATTTTTAATTCAGGGTGGATCACTGGACTTTGGGCACGTGTGGCTCATGTTCAATGGCGAAATGGAGAGTCGCTCTTCTCCTTGATTGCAGAAATGGGCTGCAGCGTTCAGGAAGACTGAGGGGCTCCCTCACTCACACTTTGCTGAAGCAATAAACTCAAAGCTGTCAGTAAATGTGTCATCACAAAAGTCTCCAACAAGAAAGGAAATGGTCACTAGTTTAAAAAAAATATCCTAAAAGTCGCTGAAAATAACAACCATGTTGCTGAGTTGACAACACTGTGCTCACCTGCCGCTGTGAGCCGATTGAAGTCCGGCACAGTGTTTGTTTTCACAGCATGTTCCTCATGTTTATGTGCCAACAAGGATATAAATGCGTTTTAAGACACTGTTTCTGCTGCCATTACGCTCATTAAAAGTCAGGATATTGACATACAGTATTTCCTTTGTATTTCTAAAAGTTTTAACGTAACCAGCATAGGGGGGGAACTTTGTTTTCCCAAAGCTGCATGACAGTGGACAGTGAGAGAGTGGGATGGAGGCTCGCTTTGGATCCACTCATTCCTTGCGTAGAAGGACAAGTTGCACAGTTTGTTGCTTTTAGGTTTTGGTCCCAAAGTCTCCTTTAACAGAGAGAAATCCCACTAAAAAGGTGCTAGAAAGGTCTGAAAAGACGCTAAATATAACGACAAAAGCACTTGTGCCTCTGCTGGAACAGTGACGTCTAGTAGCTGGTTCCTTAACTATTTTCCTTATACAAAATTACCATTATACTTTTTAGAAATGTCTACCTTTTCTTATTTTTTAACAAAAGGAGAAGGAATATCTTATTTAAATCAAGACTGACTTATTTTAGGAGCAAATATGAATGAAAGAGGAGAAATCTGGATTGGCAAGCATGCTCCTATTTTTTCCCCCTACTCACACCAATCTATTTTTAGGCGCAAATGCAAATAAAACCCTGCACTGTACAGCCCTGCCTTAAGATGATTTTGGGTGCAGACACTATAAAGGTGAACTAGACCATCTGATTTACTTGATATGACAATGTCAACATGTTACCTTGGCATGGGTGGAAAAGGCCCACGAAAGTGCATAGGAGGGGGAGGAGGAGGGAGAGGAGGCGGCGGTGGACCCATACCCATGGGACCACCCCTACCACGATGTCCTCTGAGGTCAGGGTAAGGTCTCATCCTCCCCATTCCTCTGCAAAAGAAATGCATATTAACTTTTAATATACTTACATGGACGGTGTTAAACAAAATAAATTGAACATTCCTTTAGGATCCCCACAGAGCGCAGAGGCAGGCTGGCATGATACATCATTAATGCTCGGCCAACTTAAAACTTCTCTAACTGAATACCTCATGGGTCCGAATCCGTTCATGGCTCTATCTTTCCCACGGCCTCTCCCACGTCCCGGTGGACCAAAGCCTTTGACCATACCTCGCCCACCGCGCATACCACCACGACTCATATTCCCACCTCGACCACTGCCTTTGGACCCTCGTCCCCTGTGGAAGTAAGGAAAGACTTTAGCAGTGTTTTATAATTACACTTCACTTTTTGATCATCTAGTTCTTTTTTCATAATAATGGAAAAGGTAAAGTCACTTTAAGATTGACATTATAAACAGAGAAATTATTTCTAAACAACTGACGCTGTTCATTTCTTTAATGCTAGCAGCTAGTATCACAGTACTGTTACTTCTAATAAACTGCATAATAAAAGTTTTTTTTTTTTTTTTATATATATATATAATGGGGAAGTTATACTTTTGGGAGAATATTTTAATTTGTGAGCCACTAAATGAAATAACTTTTACAGTCAACTCCTTTATAAAATGTCCTTTTGTAAAACAAGAGTTTTAGTCCAGTTGACCTTTCAGAGTGAGTAAAATTATAATATTTATCTAAGCGTTCAACTTTCATTCTAGATCCAGTAACACTTAATTTATTTTAGGAAGTATTCACTCTGATTTCCACCTCAATTTTAGATATAATCCATCTAAACCTAATACTTGGTATGCACCACAGGTTTTTAAGATAGCTGTAATTAAGCCCTGAATTAAGAAACTAGATTTTTCAAGTTTCAGTCAGGTTTTAGAGCAAATAAAAGCACTTTCTCCTCTGTTAGTTTGCAGATTGTGTTGAAGACTGATTCAGTTTGTCATTGTACAACTTGTCATAAGTTTAAGTTCACTTTCTGATTGCTTTAAATCACCTATGAACATAATGTTGTACCCTAAAATTATCCAATGTCTTCCTATTAAATTTCTACCTCTAGTCGATCAAACACACAAACTTTCCATAATCAGAACAAACGTTATGAAGCTACCAATATTTATTTTGAATGCCTCCTTCTGTCTCCTTGAACCCCAGGCCACTTACACTGAACCCGGTTCTGCTTCAGGTTTCTTCCCATTAAAATTGAGTTTTCCCTTTCTGCTGTTGCTGCATGCATGCTCAGTATGAGAATGCTGTGGAGTCATTCAACAACAAAATTGAAGCAAACATCTACTGTCGTCATGCTCATGCAGGAGGAGCGTGTGATGCAAAGTCAATGATTCGATGAAATCAGCAAGGTTTTCTTCAATAGAAAACTTTTAATCAATCTAACTGTATGATCTGATTGAACTGTCTCTGTAAATTGTCTTGGGGTGGCATTTGTTTTGAACTTACACTATATAAATATACTGAAATTAATTGAATGAATGAGCCGTTTATCTATATATAGCCAAAAAGACTGCTTTCTAAAACCTGTTTCTTTTCTCCTGTATACTCTTTAATGAATAGTAATTCAAAATTGTGTTTGTAGAGTATTAAGCATTCCAATAAAAAAAAAAAAAAAAAAAAAGAATATTCATAATAAGAAAATTGGTCTGCTGAAAATCAGGCATGTCAGATATTTATAGATGTTGAGAAAGCTCACATTAGAATACTCTGTGCACAGCTATGAATAGCTAGTGCATGATAAACATGGCAGAAAGCAAGGCTATTCATCACATTTATATTTTTCCCTCTGGTATTTTAAATATCTCACTGAATGATCATGTTGCATCCAGAGCTAAAGGATAACCAAAGACACCACGGGACAGACCTGGAATTGGAGTCACCTCCAGCTCTCTGGGATTCATTCTTCGATATTTTTGACTTTTGATCAGGCTCTGCATCCATCTGAAAACAGTCAGCCAGGACAGTTCCCATTAAAAAGGAAAAAATGTCAGATCCTTTATGCAGGCTTGTATGTTCATTTTAACCTCCCTGTGCTGAAAAATAAAACATTAATTGAAGACAGTATACCCACATTAATCTAAAACAGAAAATGTATCATTCAAAAGTAGAAATTATTATAAAAGTCGAGAACAAAAGATGAGCTAATCTTCCATAAAATGTCTATAAATTCCCTGCAGCTATAAGGTAATGGATCCTGATACACAGACAACTTCTAATTCGGCAAAAATGTTTTTCATTCATTCATTCATAACTATTTTTGATAAGTCATCTTTAAGATCTGATCAGACATGAACATCAGTTTTGCAGATTTATGACAGGTTTGCAGTGCTGAATTTTATGGTGCATGACACAAATGTGTGCAAGAGCGAAACTCTTAAACAGTGCATTTATCTGCACAATGATACCACACCATGAAATCTAAACATGAAAAAAATCATCTGCATTATTTGCAGCATGAATTGGATGTGCATATAACTTGGTATTAACATGTGCTGACAAGAGTAAACGATAACTAATTTAAAAAAGAAAAGTAAAGACATGAAATCAGAGTAGGTCCACTGCTGATTCAGCCATAAATTTAAACCAGGATAAAATGGAAAATGTAGATGTCCACATGCACTGGATTTCTGTTCTATAGGGAATCAGTATGACCAGATGATCCTCTAACAAAAACCTGATTTTGGGATTTTTTTTTTTCCCTTTAATTTTTTGTTGTTTTTTGACCATGCCATGTTTCCAAAGGGTTTATTTTTTTTTTTTTTTTTATGTTTGAACAGCTTAATTAAGCAAAATACACATTAATTGCTAAGTTCCCAGTAACATTTTGGAGCAAACATGGCACTATGATCTTAACAGATTGGTTTGTGACTTGAACTGAAATGGGTGGTTTATAGTTGCATGTTTATTCTGGAATGCACCTCAAAACAAGCTAATTCATGCATGTGTTCTGCTATAATGTCATACTTTGAAAAAAAAAACCCTCTAATTTTAAGAGTTCTTATTCTTTTATAGTCAGGGTCAATTAGACAGTATGGCAGACATTTCTACTAATGGTGATTCTATAAATATGCAACCTATAAAACTAAATAGGTGGGTTCATTAGCAGATGGGCAAATGGGTAGAGTGGAAGAATGGTTAATGAAAGGGTGTATTGGTAAATAAATAATAGACAATGGGAGATGGAAAATCTTGGTGAATCTAAATATATCGATCTATATTCCAGAGTTTCTTGTCAGAGCTGTGCCTATGGGCTCTGTTCAAATATCATCCCCTCAGCATCTACGGTAGTAAAAAAAAACAAAAACAGTCATATAGATTGAAGATTTTAAACAATTTTAAATACAAAAAAATTAAAAGACCCAATTTCATACCTTTTTGTGTTAAAGAATTTTGATTAATTCAATTCAAAAATACTTTGTTGACCCCAAAGGGAAATCAAATGTTTTTTTTTTATATTATGCTTAGATATCTGTCAGGACCTGGATTGGCTTTTTACTGTGCACAGTTTATTGTATTTATATTTATGAACTAATTTAGTGTGCCAAGTTATATAGCACATCATTAAACGTGGAACTTGTCCTGTTTTTTCATATGATACACATTTTATAACAATAGACATGGGCATTTCTCGTGTATATCCATTGGGGAGCACACCTGCTATGGTAGATTCGTGTGTTGAAGAAAATATTTCATTACTTTATATTTGGCTAAAAAGATAGCATTAAACAAATATGAAAACTTGACAGGTTCAGAGTAACCATGGATAGAGGACACGATGCTAAAGGAACACCATAATGGAGCCATTCTGTTGTACTCGTTGGTAATATGAATCCAAGAACGACTAACGTGGCAAAAAAAAAAAGCTACAATAGTAATAAAAAACGCAATAATATGTGGTAAGTTTTATTTCCCCGAGCTGAGCAGAAAACGTTGGTTTGGTTATCAAAAACATCTTGAAGGACTCTGACTAACTCCTGGATTTAGCCACAATCCCCAACTAAGTATGTCTGTTTTCTTATTAAGCGAATTTCGAAAATAATATTAAATTAAATGCCTTATTAAACGTCAAAAACAAACCCTGAATGACAGTTAAGCATGGAGGGGGCGTTTCTGTTATTTCTAACCATTTCAACAGCCTTACAGGAATGAAAGCAGGGAAAATGGCTTACCCTATTAGTCGTGCGGGCAAGGTATAATTTTTAAAAAGTAAAAAATGCCCCTCTTGCCAACCTATATATAAAATATGTGGTAGAAAAATAAAAAATTTTAGTTTTGGAAAAAAATTCCACAGCGCCCGTTATTCCTAAACGTTTTGAAATGGCGGCTTCGCAGGGCATCCTAGGCTGAGATTTCTTTGTGTGAGAAATCTGTTTTAGTCCCGCCCACTGGGCTTAATACTTATTCTGATTGGCTGTTTTTCAACTATCTTCCAAATGGCCCAATTCTGATTGGTGTTTATTTCTGACGCGTAATCAATTGTCTACCCTCTATGGATCACATTAAATAAGATGTGCAGGATAAATTTACTTCTTGGTTTTAGAAAAACAAGAAAAAAATAGGAGCAGTTACAGGCTCTAAATGAACACATTGCCTCTCTAATCAATGAACATTAATAAACTAAGTTATAACTAATTAAATATTTTGTCTTATAGTTCACAGACACACAAAATACCTGATTACCATTTTTTTTCAAAGACCTGAATCATAAAACAGGTGAATGACTGAATCAGGTTCAGCAGAAGTGTATATATTCTCTTTTAACATAAAAAAGTGACTCAAAATACTTTGAGAAGCTTTGCCATTCACACAAAAATAATATTTAATGGGTTTACGAACACAAAACGTGAAAATCCACACACAATTTGAATATCATAAGGAACAAAGGTATCAGTATAAAGAGAAAACATTTTCCCTTATGTCTCTTGATCCCTTTTCAGTGAAAAAAGCGTAGAAAAGTTGAATACTATACAATTCATGTACCAACTAAATTCACAATTCTAAAAAAAAATGGGCATCCTCATGTCCAAATATTTTCCAAAGTGCCCAAATAATATTTACATCAAATCCAAAGGGGGAAAAAAATCATTAAAAATATAAGATTTCAAGTTGTTTTGTAAGAAAATGGAAACATGTTTTCTGAATGAGGACCAGATGAACGCTGCGTAAAAGTAGTCCAAGCTGCGTCCGTTACGCACGGCTCAGGATGTCCGAGAGCTTGTTGATGTACTCGATGGTGTATTTAAGCGTCTGGATCTTGGTCAGGGGCTGGCCTCTCTTGCTGTAGTCCGGCGGAAGGTAGTCTCGGAGCTGGTGGAGAGCCTCTGCCAGGCTTCTCATCCGCATCTTCTCCCTCTCGCTGGCCTTCATGCGCCTTTTCTCGGACATCTTTGCTTTGCTTTGCCTCTGCTGAGTCCCTTTGCGCCCGCTGCATCCAAAAGAGAAATCCTTCATCTCCTGTCTGGAGATGGGGCGACACATCTCCGGCGATGAGCACAGCGATGAATCCAGGGGGGACAGTGGACAAACGGACTGCTGGTTTTCTCCAGATGCGCCCTCGATGCTCTCCCATTCGGATAGGATGGTTGCTGTAAAAGCTTCCAGATCCATGTTGGAAACCACACCGGTGCTCAGTGAGGCGGACAGAGTGAATATGGGGGCTTTTTTTCTGTGTTTTATATAGAAACAGATCTCCGGACCTTTATAGGTTTCCCTTAAAAAAAAAAAAAAAGTTCAAAGAACACCCAAAGTGCCAAAATAAGAGCTTCCCGGTTCGTTATCACCTTTGTGTGAACAAGGCCGAACAGACGGTTAATGTGATAGAAAGAAAAATAATTAGATTCCTTCTGTGGGAAATGACTCTTTAAAGTCTGCTCAGCGACAATTGTCAGTTTGATGTGATGTCTTAATGAAGGCTGGAGGTTCACCTGAGATGTTCACACTGATATGACAACTTAGGTCTGCGTGTGTCCTCACTATCCAAACAAACATCACTTTCATGGACAGTTCATCAAGATAGTTAAAGGTCAAAATCACAAGTTACTGCCCAATCATTGACCTTATGTAAACACTTTAAAATCTTTTCTAAAAGTTAACTTTAAGTAGGATGTTTCTTAAAAAAAAACTCTTTATGATTTAAACACATTGGTTTCTTTTATAGGTTTGAGTTTTCTAGAACTTGGAGATGTTATTTGGGGAAAGGATGCAGCCTCACCAGAGCTCCTGCCGGAGCTTTCATGTCTGAGGTGTGAGCCCTCACTCAGGATCAAGGGGACAAGCCACTGCTGTGTTGTTAAAAAAAACAACAACAAAAACAACAGTGGGTTAAACATCCTCTGTCCCCGCTTCCTTCTGCTGGAAAAAGACCCGTGGGAGAAAACAACAATATGAGCAGCAATAAAATGCGTCATTTTTCTTAAAATTCAGAAATTCTGGACAACTTCCACTTTTCTTTCAAAAACCCCCCCCCAAATAAATAAAATAAGTGGTTCATCTTTAAATTACAGTCATAGTTCTTACAATTTTTTCATGATTAAATAAGAGATTTAATTTTTCCCACCTTTTATTTTTCCCACAGACAAGTTTCCACAGTTCATGTTCCAATTTTTAAGGAAAGAATAAAACAAAAAGCAAGGAAAGTGTGAAGAAAAGTTGATAAAATACATGGATGGATGACCAGATAATGCGTATAATACACAGATGGATGGACAGCCTTGGTAGGACAGGGAATAAAGGAGGGAAAAATCCAAATTATTTCCACAGTTCCTTTTCTGTCCTGGATTGTCAAATCTTAGATTTTCCCAGACTCAATAAGGACCCTTATTCACACATAAAACAAAAATAGTTTAGACTTGGCTTAATTTCATATTCCTTGAAATGAGGTGTGGTAAAAGAAGAGTGGAAAGTTTGGACAATGGGAAAAATACCCAAATCAAAATCCAGATGATAAAGGAACCTTTTAAGTTTGCTTTCAGACACCACAGATACATTAAAAATTGAACTGGGTCACAATAATCTAAAAGAAATCAGATCTATAGCATTTTGCTTTTCTAAAAAAAACAGTTTTAAAGAAAATGGTATTAGAATTAAAGACAAAGAGTTTCAAACAGAGGATGATGAATGACGCTCACTTTAGAAGTTTTAGTCGTATTCTCTCGGCTAGTGGCAGAGGACTATCACTATTATTCACTGAATCGTTGATGATAGGTGAAGCTGGATTCTGCAGAATCCTATCATCTCTTACTTTAGCTGTTTGAATGTCCTGACAGCTATTTGTAGCTGATAAATCTGTTTTTTGTTCAGCCTTTCCCCATTGGCTCTGTGGTTTTGTTCCAATTATCTGAAGCTTTTGAGAATTCTTAGCATTAGCATCTGTAAACCGACCAGAGGCCGGTTTCAGAGGAAAGTCTGACAAGAAATTTTTCTTGGTTTTGCTTGTCAGTTTTGTTTTTGCTTGACGTTGAGATCCAGACTGCTGGTTTTCAACATCACTGTCCTCACTGGATGAGCCCCTTCCCATGCACACGCTCTTCTTCGAGGAATGTGATACGCCGCTGCTCTGTTTGTCCTTTTGTCCTGGGTTAGAATGGAATCTCTGCGGCAGAGCAGAGGATGACAACGAAGCAGATTTGACAAACTTATATTTCTGACAAGGCTTTTCTTGTCTATTAGATTTCTCCAGTGTCTTAATCTGATCCTCACGCAATGTTTTTTTGTGCTCTTCTGACCTTTGAATGCTTTCTTCTAAGCCACAATGTGTTTTGCATGTGAGCGGTTCCTTTTTATTACCTGTGCAGCCATTGCTGCCGTCACTGGAACATCCTCTGTTTGAAATAAGCAGCTCATAGTTGTGATGTTTCTTGTCTGCATTCCTCATGAGAATTCGGTCTCTCAGAGGACACTCAGTGTAGCACAGCTCTGGCTTTTTGAGTCCAGCTTGTGTTTCATCTCTGTCTGTGTTCTTAGTTTGCTCAGGCTCTGCAGGCTGGCTCGCCTGTGAGGAAGGCGAAGAGGTGAAAGATAAAGCCTCCCAGTCGATATCACTCAGATGTAAAGCGTCAATAACAGCAGAGACAGAAGGTGATGCGGTGGTCTCTGGTTCAAGATCAGGTAGGGGTTTTCGAACATGTTTGTCGCCTGCTTCTTTGCACTGCTTACGATTCACTGGAGTGTCCAAAAGGATAACTTCTGTCCCTTCAGAGCGTGAGCTGGAAGGGGGCGGAGTTTGAGGCTCGGTGGATCTGTCCGCTGAGAACGTCTGGAGCGTCATCTGAGCCAAGAGATCCGAGACGCCATCAGAAATATCAGAAGGTTTCTCCTTTTTCCTTCTGGCTTTCTTCTCTACAAAAACAAAAAAAGAGAGAGTGGAAACTCAAACATTTTCTCAGTCTTTCTTCATGAATGTAAAAAAAATCTTGTGGATACTTCTGATTTTAAACCCATTTTGATTAAAATTGGAGTTATGAAACCTGCAGCTCTGGCTCGTTGGGCCTTCCAAAAGTGGCTGTGAATAATTCTGGTTAAAATGACAAATAACTAGGCTGTACTTTTATGTATAGAAGCAATAAGAGAAGTTTAACTTTAACAATCCCTCTGTTTTCACAAGAACTGCATAGAAACTAAAGTAGGGAAATCTCAACCAACCAGCAAAAACTACTGTTAATATAAGTTTTGAATGTTGTTGAGTTTAAGAACTGACTGTCATAGACACACTATTACAACTGCTACCTATTTTTTAAATCCCTATATGGCTTTTAATGTAACTTCCTTAGATTTGCTCATTCAGGCATTTGTCTTACATGGTCTAAACTCTTAATCTATCTCAATGCAAATATGTGTGCCATTTTTTTAAAACAGCATGAAATGCAAATAAGTCCTGATTGATGATTACTACAGGGGATGAAAAAAAAACTAAAGTCAGCAAATCCTGTGAAACAGACACTTCACCCCAGCATTATTAAAGCCTCTGGCATGAGGTGGCGGAGCTGCTAAACCTTACATTTTCAGGTGTTAAGGCTACTTTTAGCGACAGCCTTAAAAACACATGTTAGCTTTGATCTGTTTAGCTGTGTGAGCACAAATTGGGGAGTCTGGGAAGCTTTTTAATTCAGCACAATGAGTATAAATAAACACCTTATTGGGAAAAACACTGCAAAAACACAGCATGTGGAAGAGTATGAATAACAGTCGCCTTACGTTTAGTTTTGTTCTCTTCAATCAGGGCTTTGCTTCTCAGGTAGTTTTCAACAACCTCTGGGAAAGCCGTGCGGAAAAGAGACTCTTCCTCCACCGTTCTCACCTCATGTTGTTCCTCAGTTGGTCGGTCCTCTGGAAACACATAATGCTCTGGACAAACAGGGAACAATAACTAACTTAGCTAAGACAAGTAAAACTATATTTTTTGTTCTTTATTATATTTCTGTTTTTATTTAAATCAAGAAATATATTTATTTTCCTGTAGAAATGAGCCTCTTTTAAAAACTTGTCAATTTCACCCCTCATCTGCAAAAAACTATTAGTTATTTTCATAGCAGATGTCTGTTTTAGTTAATTTAAGTCGTTATTTAAAGGCAGAAAAGGAAAAGGAAACATCTGTTCAACCATAGATTTAAAGGAATATTACCTTTAAAAAAGAGGACAGCGTTGTATCAGTGGAACAGATTGCCATTAGTTGTAAAAAGGGCAAAAAATGTCCGATGTTTTAAAGTCATTCTAAAAACTTGTTTTGGGAATAAAAGTTTCTTATTTCTTATTGAGAGTTTATTGTTGTTTTATTGTTTTTACTTTCACTTGTATGATATTTTAGTGTATACTCCTACTTGTAAATGTTTAAAACTCTTTATGCATTTACTTTGCTGATGGACCCCAGGAAGACTAGTTGCCACTCTGGTGGGCAACTAATGGAAATCCTATTAATGAATATGTAAATAAAGCAGAACACAATGAACAAAACACAAAGGCTGGTATTTACAAGGAATGTATATCTGCAAATTAGAGACTAATATAGTATAACTTCTATAAGTCATTTTTAACACCAAGAGGTAAGGAATACAAGATCAAATTGCAGTAATACTGGATAAAAAAAAATAAAAAAAAATACTGTAAATGTTAAGACAATAGTAACATTAGTGTAAAGATGGAAGAAAATATATAAGCTGGCATCATTTTATGCTTTTTGCCTCAATTTGACGGGAAAACAAAAATGTTAAAAAGGCAGAGGGAGGTGGAGGCATAAAATATTGTCTCTGTTTACTTTTATTATGTAAAAGTAATCAGAATACTGCAGGAAAATGTTATAAATCTGCCTCACATTTAACTTTCGATGTCAGTCTCTCTATATTTGATGATGCTACAAATTTATTCTGCCTAACAAAAAACAAAATATGTGAAGTTTTGACTGTTTTTTCAGCTGCTTTCTTTTCTTTCCCTTATATTTCTTTATAAAGTAAACTGAACCTAAACCATATGCAGATTTTCCTGATTTACTCATAGATTTGCACGTTTGTGATATTTTGATCACAGTTTGATCATAGTTAGAATAACAGTTTCTAGATCTATATGAAGGATGAGTTAAACATATACCAAACTCCAGGCTAAGTTTGTTGAATTGAGACTTTCTCAGCTCAGTGATGTCAAAAAGGCTTGTTAGTGACGTCTGCTTTGATATGACCGACTTCCCTTCTGAGGGAGGAAGCCGGTTTGGCACCTAGTGGCTGTTGTGACTGATCTGTCACCTCTGAACCCCACCTCACAGCCAGTCACTAACAGACAACTCGGCGACGAACACCCTGCACCCCAACTTAGTGCCCCGGTCTCACTAAGCTCACAAATCCAGCGTTTTCCCCCCTCTTGAGCATATAACCCAGTAACATTGCATTGCTTATTTAGGAAAGAAAGGAGGATTTTAACAGACCTGGAGTGCTCCAGACAACTTCAAAGCAAGCGACTGCGTTCCTCACCCGTGGTTTCAGTATTCTGATAGAGAAAATCAGAACAGTTATTTATAAAGGATGCCCTGCAAAAACTACAAGAAAACATTTTCATCACAATAACAGTTTTTAAGCTTAAATAAGAAAACATCATGAGTACCGGAGAGGCTTGAGTTGAGAAGGCACATTGTTTCTGAGTTTCCTGTTCATCAGCTCAGTGTAGGTCATCAGGATTAAAACTTTCTCACTGGTGTAGTGTTTTGGCCACTCCATCTTCTCATAAGCAAATTTCTATTAAGGACAAAAAACAGCCTTCAAATTCCCCTCACTTAGACTCAGTGGAGAATCTTTAACTTAGCAAAACAGGATTAAAAAAATGAAAATCTTACCTGCATCAGCAGCATATTTGGCTGTCTCCTCTTAAAATGTGCCACAGGTTTATCCTTGGAAACCAGAAACTCGTCTATAATCTGGAATTAGAGGAGAGTATCATGTTACCTGATTTTAAATTAGTATCTAAAAGCAGGTTGAAAACTGAATAAAACACAAACCTCTATGAACGGGAACTGCTGACAAGCCATTGTTTTCCTGAAAAAGAATTCAAATATTAAAAATATTTTTTCCCCCCTCATAGTTCACAAAATATCCCCAATTTAAAGAAACAAACTGTTCATTTCCTCATCTGGGAGCTTAAGAAAAAATGAGAAAATGGAAACAGAAGACAAAACAAACATTTCAGCTTTATACATTATTTGTAAATATTCAGGCTGGTCTAGATAAAAAAATAAATAAAAATACTAAGTATAATTTTTCTCTTACTTTACACTATCTTTTTCAACTCAGGATTCCATTGGTTCATGTCGATGATTTTCTTAATAGCAAAAAGGGTTTTCTTTACCGAGTCATTAGCAAAACCAGGCACTCGTTTATAAAAAAAATAATAAGAACTAAACAAGCAATGCACAAAAACAGCAAAGCCAACACTGTAAAACAAATGAAGGCATAACTAAAATCAACTAAAAAAGAATAAAATTAACAGAAAAAAATCAAAGTGCCTAGTTTCTGTAAATGTTTAATGAATCGTGATGCTTTCTCATCAGAAAGTCTGAATAAAGTCAAGAGACTTACAGTTTAGAGATGTGTAGAAATAATTGTGAGTTGAAATGGAAGGTTAACATACTGCTGGAGAATTTAGCATATTTTGTACAAATGAATTTAATTTATTTCGACTGATTAAGCAGATGTAATACAGCCCTACAATACTACCTGTACCAGCTGGAAAAAACAAATAACACTGCAGTACATCTGCAGTGATTTTTGTTAATGTCTGATGCTTTTTCTTTTATTTCCAGTTCGCTTTTTGTTTATAGTTCACTCCCATAAAAATGTTCACTCTGCTGTGAAGAGTTGATTTATGCTGTAATATAATCAAAGTTTTTTTTAGAGTCTAGCTTTTTGTTCAAACATATATTCTGTTGCCAGCCTTATAGATTTTAAATACATAGGTTTCACTCTGCTTTGGGGAAATGTATGAATAAAGTGATTGAGGTTATTTGGCTGAATTCCATGCATCTTTTATCTGCTGTATGTAAATGTCTTTTTGACTCCATCACTGTATTCACTTTTTTTCTTTTTTTATCTATTGGTTATGATCATCTGTTTAACAGAATACATACTTCCTGATGTTTGCTTCCAGAGACGAGGACTGGCGGCTCTGTTCGTAACAGTGCCAGTCGCACGGACACACATAATCGAAGTCCTGAGGCTGGCAGAAGCGTTGGCTGTCGCAGAGCACACAGCCGCCACGCTCGTGTGCCTTGGCTGAGCCTGAAAGCCAAAGATAAGCCCATCAGCCATCTCCTGCATCCCGAAATTTCAGGTTCTTACATTTCAGCACGGTGGATTAAATAGCATTAAACTGGCAGAGTGTGAAACGAATCTCTGCAAATTTGGTGGGCTCACCAGGATGTCGACATATGTTGCAGTGAGAAACCTTCTTTACAACTACATCAGGAATGTCTGTACTCTCTTGCTTCCACTGTTTGAACCTTAAGTGACCAAAGAAAAATGTAATCAGCAACAGTAGTTCAAGCAGCGCATATTTTAGCAATGAAATGAGTGTTTAAACGAGCACTTTCCACCTCTGCAGAAGTGACTGTCCTCCAAGAGTCTGTATAAGCCTCATGGCCTGCTCTCTGCCAACACCGGGTATACCCTAAGGGAACCATAGAAATGTACAGTTAACAGATAGATATAGTAAGAATTCAGAAATAAAGTAACTAGTAAGGTAGTCTTCACTACCTTAGGGATGTAATCACATCCCAATAGAACGGCCAATCCAACAAGATTCTCTCTCGACAGGTTCAGCTCAGTTTGCACTCGAGATGCTTGGTAACAATCTACCTGAGGGTCCTGGTGACAAAAACAAACATCCCAATTAGACAGATGTGTTGTTTTTAGGTTAGGATTAGGGGAGTTAATTACAATTTTTAAGGCTATGATATTGATCAACAATATAGGTCCATACATTCAGGTCTGGACTATTCAAAGTGGCAATTTACAGGCCCCGGATTGTAATTCAGGAGAGATACAAATAAGATTAAGTATTTTTGGAGATATAGACCTTTTTATTTATAATCTTTCAATAAGAAGTGATAGGTAAAATACAAAATAGTTTTTTTTTTTTTTTATAATCACACTTTCTTCATTTTTGTTCTTTTCACAGTGAGGACCTCATCTATCCAGTGACTTTCACCAAAAAAATAACTTAACTGCCCCCAAACCTGCTGTTAATAATTTCTTTAAAACTTGTATAGGAGTTGCCCAAATCCTTTTTTTTTTTTTATGAGAAAACAATTGCAGGAATTACAATTGCCCTGCGACTCTAAAGTTGGGGGTTTGATTCCAGCCTTCCCTGGGCAAGCCACATAACCCCATGTTTCCTGCGTATAAATGAGCGCGGTTTATTTTTAGAAATAAACCGACTCCATACATATCCATACATATAAATACATTCTACGGAAAGCAATCAACTCCAAAATTATTTCCAAACTTGATGCCTTTCTTTTATCAGGGCAAAAATGCCCCTTTAAAGGTTAGATCTGCAGAAACTTTCTCAACAAGCTCTAATTTATCAATTTAATGACATAGTTGCACATAGTTTTAGGTTCTGCAGGTAGAAAAATATTTACAACATATTCTGCTTAGTTTATTTTTTTGGGTCATTTTGTCTCAGCAAATGTTGCCCAGGTGAGAAATGCTTTGAAAACCTCTGCTTACATTGATACCATCTCCAAATAAACGGGTTAAAAATCAGTTTAATCAGAACAATTATCTTACTTTTTAACTCAATTGTTACAGATTCATATTTTCTTGTACATTTCCAATTTCAGCTCCGTCTCATTAAATTCCAACCCTATTATGTTCTAAGGTTTTATCTTAACCTGCATTGACATACTTTACTGTTCATATTGAAGTTCCTGTAAACTGTCCGAGCCCCATACAGGAAAGCATCTCCATCGTTTGTGATGCAGCCATCAACCAGCCCCGCTGAGTCCAGGTAAGCACACATGGCCTCTGCTTCCCCGGCAGCCGTCACCCAGGGCACACCCAGGTAGTCCAGCATCTCAGCACACTGCAGGACACAAATAATGAAGAGTTGGGACAGGTTTTTATTTTTTATTTTTATTTTACATCCAGTGGTAAAAAAAAGAGCAGAACTAACCTCTCGGAGTACAGCGTTAAAGCGCCCTCTGCTGGTACTTGGGGCTGACTTTGAGACCTGTCCTTTTCTGGAAGCTCCAAATCTCATTTCTGTCCTTTTACTCATGGTTTCTGATTTAAGTTTAGGAGCTTGGCCTTCCATGACAAAAACGAGCTTCACCCCCATCAGTGTGAGCGAAGATACTCTGAAAAATAAATTCCTGCCCATAGAAAGCATTGTGTTGGTTTTAACACTTACAACCCAGACATTTCTGTTAAATAAATCAAACTCATAGAATATATTTTAGTATCTGGATTTTTTTTGTTTGTACTTTTTTTTGTTTAGGTTTAATAAGGATAAAATGCTGTTTCCCAAAAAAAGCATCTCTACCTGTCTCTGGCGAAACCACAAGAGGCCTTAGGAAACCAATCAGAGATTTGGAAGGTATAGTCATTTGTATTTTGCTTGTTTTACCATAATTTGTACATGTGTAATCAGAATCTCTACTTACAAAGCAAAATGTTTGAGCCATATTTATAAAACATTGCATGGATGCTGAGTTAACAACTGTAGATTTAGAGTTTTTACACTTTTCCACACATTAACAAAAAAGACAAATCTGCATGTTAAAAAAAAAAAGGTTTCTGGTCACAAAAACACTGACGGTCATTGTGTGGAAAATAAAGGAGTGTAATTCATCAAACAAATGTTTATTTTTTGTTTTGCTTATGTTTAGATGTATATTTAAATAATAGAAAATTATTCTTATACATTTTTATGAATGTAAATATGGTAGATATATTACTTTAGCAGAAATATTAATAATTGTTGCTTTTCTATTTGTATTAAAAGTAATAGGACTATGTGACAGACTTAAATTTTAAGCTTGTGTAAATACCTTGATTAAAGAGCTGTTTTTACTTAAAGTTATCATACTTTGGTAATTTCAGTGACCCAAGTCTAGGTTAAATTAAAGGCAGTGGGATTATTGTCATAACTCACTGTATTATTTAAGCATATTATGCAAGAAGAATATGACATTTAATTTTTTATTTTTACAAATGTTAAACAGGTGGTGAAAGTATTCAAGATTGGGTCATGGATCAAACTGACCAAGATGGGAAAAGACAAGCCTCTACATCTAATACTGTGAAATCGTGAAGATCCAAGGATGTGTTTCTCATTGGAAATATGTGGTCCGCCCAACAACTTAAATTCTTCCCTGTTTTTTGTGCAAACCTCCAAAAAAGGCAGGCACCTGCTATATATACACATATATATTAGGGAACACCAGACACATTTGTTTGCATGCTGCAGTTTATGTAAATATGCTGCCCTCTAGAGGTCAGCTGCGGTACATGTGTAAATGTTCAGATGGATATTTTCTTTCCTCTTTCATTCTGGAAGTTAAAATAAACACTCTGTGTATACAAAATGACAATAAAGATGTCTAAGTCTGTCCCAATATGAACCCCTTAGATCTTGTTTTGGGGCCATTAGCCCCAAACTGGCACACTTACATGTGAAGTGGACCTCTTTGTAAATCAAATATTGTAAAATCAACATCCTATTTTTCCAGATTCTCCCTACCATTTTTTCAATGGGTCTGGGTTATTTTGTACCTTTTTTTTTGGAAGCCTTTCATTATCATACCTGAGCAAATACGTCAAACAAGTTATGGTGGATTGCTTGCGAATTTAAATGTTCAGCTGTGTGTTTTTATTTTTTAATGAACCATGCAGGATATATCTTGTATCTTACCTCAGATGGGGCTTAGTAACTCTGCCCATCATGGCCTGGACATGCTGAGCTTCACAGACCCATAAACTCAGGTCCACTGCCAGAGTCTTTCCGCTAAGACTGTACAAAGGCACCGACTCACGAACTGGCTCAACGATGGACCACAGATCGTGAACACCCATGATTTGATAAATCAAACAAAATTCAATTTCAGAAAATGAACGGAATTAAACACACGGGGAAAAAAACACAGAGGCGGAACAAGACAAAAGTTTTCAAATCCTGGCGCCGTTGGTCTGCGTCACATATCGCTTCCTTTCTTCTTTAACGGGGATTATGTAAATTATTTGTAATATCTAAACTAACAAAAAAGTTCATCAACAGTCCGTTTTTGATTTACGTTCGTTATTTTAGATCGACCAAAGTAGGAAAGTAGGGAAGACTATCACAAAATACACCAAAGCCTACTTTCAAAAAAGACGACGTCATTTCTGTGCGACTTCACTTCACCGTTGCTATGGTTACTCAGCGTTTGCTTATGTGCTGCTGATAATTTCAGCCATGGGCTCCAAAATTATTTTAGAAATCGTTGGCCTGATTAAAGATCCATCTTTCCATGTTGCCAAACATTTAGCCGAGGTAAAATCATGTAAATAGTATTTCCCACCCTTTGATTAAATGATTAATTCAAGGCTTCACTTCTGTCATTGCAGGGACTCAGGGACCGCTTTCCTGATGAATTTTTGGATCCAAAACTTGTGCCACTTCTTGAATTTGACTGGCACACATATCTATGCAACAAGAAGCAGGTAGGTGTTCTAATTCAAGAAATTATTAAAAAAACAAAACAGTAATCATTGGAGGTGTTTAAAAATACGTTTGTAGAAGTTAGAGTATTAACTTAAGGTTTTTACTCCTGTAAAAGTGTAAAAGTACCCTTTTTAAAAATACCTGAAGTATAAAAGTAAAAGTAATGCAAGAAAAAATGTTAAGAAGCTTTAAATCTCATACTTGTTACTGCACTACCCTATTAAAGGAAAATGTTTCTACAAATCTGGATGAAAATGTCCTTATAATAAATGTTCTTAGTTTTATAATTAATAGGAACAGTGTCAAATTTAACTTTGCATCATCTTGAAAAATTATTTATTTTGGTAAGTGGCCATCAACAGGTTAGTGTCAACCACAAAGAAATTAATTGTCTGGATGAAAAAAATTGTTTTGATGTCTTTTTGAAAAAAAAAAATACAAACAGGCCATTACAAAATAAATGAAATAAAGCTAACAAGTCTATTTGTAAAAAGTAAGGAGTAGAATGTAGAGATAATTGCAAAAACATTTAAGGATTAGAAGTAAAAAGTTGTCTAAAAAACAACTACTCTGGTAAAGTATAGATAGCCAAAACTTCTACTTAAGTAAGGTAATTAAGTATTTGTACTTTGTTATTTGTCACCTCTGGTAATCATACCCCTTGATTTTATTTTTTTACACATTACCATATTAATAGTGACAAACTTCAATGTTTTATAATGGGAATTTCAGGGTTTGCTAACTGGGAAAATTAGATAAAAATAAGATAAAATTTGAAAATTAGATACTTCTTGGCCATGCATTGTCTTTCATCTGTCTTTCCATTTCTCTTTGTGTGATTTAATTTTTAGATCTTTTAAATCAAACCCAAATTAAATTAGACCCCTAATTTAGTTTTTTAATTTAAGGATAGTTCCTTTTTTAAGGGACCATAGGCAACCCAAATTGTATCTGATAGTTTTGAACCAAAACTAAATCATTTAGGTTTTGCAAGATTTTTACCTTTAAAAACCTAATTTGAAAAGTACGGCATGTAATCATAAATTTAATTTCAGTTTAAATACTGTGAATCCATTAAGGCCTCAGAGGTTTGCAAGGGATTATTGAGCAATCGGCCTTATGTAGACAGAGACAAACCAGGCATATCTGGGAAAAATAGAGGAAAGGTTAAAGCAGGATGACATTATAAATCAGTATCCTAAATTTTTGAGATTTCACAGAGCACTGTTAAATCCATTACCCCAAACCTAAAAGATATTTGGCAAGACTGCAAACCTACGCAAAGCCATGGGAATACCTCTATCTTTAGGAGCCAAAGGAAAGCTGGTCAGAGTTCACTGTTAGATAGATGGAGGTAAATTCAATCTAACTCTGGAAGACATCCTGCTACAGGTTTGAATATCAAATGATTCATTTTCCAGAAAGATAACAGCCCTAAAACCCCAACAAGATCTGCAATGCAATGGTTTAGATCAAAGAATATTTTGTCTCAATATGACCCAGTCACAGTCCAGACATAAACACATTTAAATATATAGTAAGTTGAAAACAAAAAGGAGATTTAAAGATACTTCTCTTTTGTCAGGCTGAGCTTGAACTATTTCAGTAAGAAGAATTTACAAAAATATATTTCTCTAAATGTACACAATTGCAGAAGGGTATAAATAGTTTTGCATAGACTAATCATGACAAAATGTTTCAAATTAAGCTTAAAGTGTAGGGATATTAGGTAAATTATTTTATTCTTATTTCATTTTACAAGTAATAAAATAGATACAGAGACCCTTAGTCTTTTTATCTGAGTAATACCATAGAACTAAAGAATAAAAAAATCAACATCAAATGTTCCAATGAAATAAATGTTACACAAAAAGCAACTAATCAGATATGAAAAGCTAAACCAGTGCAATGACAAAACAAATAAAACATTTCAAACACTTTTTAGAATTAAAAAAGACTATAGTGTACATTTTGCTGCGATTACCTGAGATGAGCAATAATAATATTGTTATAAATAAAACCTCTGAGTGTGCACAAAGCTGAAGGCTGTAATGCTGCACTCCCACACAGATATTATCTCTCTGTATTTCGACACCATTGTTATTCTAAAATGCTGATTCACAACACGACTATTGTTGTGAACTTGTGATTTCAGGAGCTGCGGGGTGAAATGTGGCAGTACTCCAGCAACATGATATGCTTCCTTAACGGCATTCTCCTCGGTAATGAGAAGCAACTCGCCATCTGGGCTGAGAATCAGTGGAATTTCTCTATCAGTCATCCAGAGGATTTCTATATGGCTTTAACTGAAGAGCACTACACCAAACACCTCCAGAAGACTGGAGTAAGCTCACACCACAGTAACAAAAAGTACAGAAAAACACAGTAGAATGATGGCAAATAGGCATCCAGTTGGATGTTAATTATTCTAATTGTCTGTGTCCTTTGTGAAGCAGGTGATCTGATTTATTGCAACTTCAAACTGTGTCCCCTTGCTAGGATGTTCTTAAGCTGTATCAGAATAAAAATATATACTAAACAGGTCATAAGAAGGAGAAGATGAACAATAGTGAAACATCATAAAGATTTCAAGTGTGATTTTGTGCCCAGTCACTCCCACTTCAGTAATATTTGTTAGCAAGAAGCCAGTTTTAGAAAATTATGGTTCTCAACTTCTTGTTGTTTGGGACTCTAATAGTAACTCTTCTAAAGCTTGTTTTCATCTTTTGTTCAATGTTTTCAAGCATTGCTCAGATGTAATTTGGGTTTTATATGAGAACAATGAAAATGCTCATTATACATGTGAGCTTTGAGTGCTTGAAACTGCTTTTTTGTTACCGTTGTTTGGTTTATCCATCTTTTATTAATAATCTCAGTGAGTCTTTTCCTGATTGAAGAAAGGCAACAAAAATAAGTCATATTATGGAATTAGTATTTAAAATTATAAACAACATTCAAACCTATTTACGTATCCATTATTCTATCCACAACCATTGAAAGAATAGCTTATGAATACATTTTTTTCTACATTTTTAGCACTATTTTGTGTCTTATTTTGAAAACAAACAACATCATGTAACTATGATGTGCAGCCTTACCTGGATTTTTAGTGCTGTGGGTGGTGTTTTAAGAAACCATCACTCAGGACTACTGTAGCTCATCTTGTGGTACTTCAGCTTTCTCATGTGCTCTGTTTATTTTGTCTTATTCATCAATCTGTACAAATGCTTGCGAGTTTAGTTTGAAGTGACACAAGGAACGTAATGCAACAGCTGCTAAACCTACTGATAAGATAAGAAGCTTTGAAGCAGTGATTGAAGGTTTTTTACTGATTGCCTCATTTGATGTTTTGATAAAAGGATTGTTGATAGCATAAGCATGTTTATTTTGGGCTCAGAATGGAATCTGGTTAGCTCCTTTAGGTGAAGTAAAGCTGTAAATTATTGGTAATGTGTCCATGGATGGACGGACGGATGAGTGCATCTGTTATGCAGTTCTGAAAAAATGCAAGTATTCAATGTTTATGGTGATGATCATGTCTTTATCTAATATTCATTGCCGCAATTAGTGCAAATTCCTAATAGTTTATGTATCTACAGAACTTTAATGTGAGTTGGTGATTCCAGACAATGATGAATAATGATGAATAACAAAAATACCGCTCAGAAGAGGCAAAAATACCACAAAAAAGATCTAACCAAGATTTTTAGGGCAAATTTGGTTTTTACCAAGTGTTTTTTTTTTTTTAACTAATTGGATTTTGATTAAGTTGATTAAGAATTAAAACAGTCTTTTTTTTTTATATTCCAACTTTCATCCTTTGTTTTAGCATAGGTTTGTTTTCATGGACGTCCAGATAGCAGATGAAGCAGTTGGGCGGTTATATTTTGAGGTGAGACCTTTTGGGTCAAATGTATGCTGTTACTTTCTAACATAAGGCTTATAAAAAGACTTTACTGAACAATAAATTTGTAATATATGATAAAACAAATTATTAATGTAGATCAGCATGTCTTCTTTTCTCTCCTCAGCTGTTCTCAGATGTGTGTCCAAAGACATCAAAGAACTTTGAGGCCCTGTGTACAGGAGAGCATGGATTATCACAGAGTGACTTCCCACTCCACTACAAGGACTCTCAGTTTCATCGCATTGTGCCTTACGGCTGGGTGCAAGGTGGAGGTGCTACAAGAGGCCACTGGGTCACCTATTACTTTTCAATAGCTTCATAAATATTCAGAATCTATATATCAAGATTATATATGTGGAAAACCGTAACAGGAAGTAACAGGAAATTTGCTAATACTGATTTAAATGTCTTTGCATTTAATACATAATGAGTCAAATGACGGATTAGTGTTTTTTAACATGGGTGTTTCATGATTACATTTTAACATTTTGGGGACTATTAAATCAGGCCAAATAAATGGTGCACTAATCCAAACACATGGCTTATGTATCCTTATAAATTACACAGAATGTTCAATATAGACTCAACATCCTGAATGTGGGACATCATGAGTGTGGGAATTAACTGTGTGGGAATTAGAATTAAAATCTGTTTGCCCTCACAACAGGATCCTAGTAAAGTTGCAATTTTCTTTAAGCAATTTCCTGGCCTATACAAACCAACTCAGATCTGCTTTACATGATCTAAATTCTCTCTCTCCATTTTGAAAATGGGTGGAGAGGAATGGGCTTGGGTGCCAGTGTATATTTATTGCCCAGGGTAACAGAAAAACACTATGCGTTGCATTTTTGCGATCCTTCAGCCAAGTGGAGTCAAGTGATTTCTTGATTCTACTGGTCAGGCAGGAATTTGATGATTAAATGAGTGGGGAATTCAATCTTCAAAATAGCTCCAGCTATTTTGCATAGCCTCCCTCTCACTGATTAATTAAAAAATATATATTTTTAAAATTACCTTTTGTATTTCCTTGTGTCATCTATTCTAGGATTTGTTTGATGATCTGAAACCTTAATATGTGACAAAAAAAATAGCAAAAAAGGGGAAGAGCTCTTAAAAGGAGGGCATATAATTCTTTTCCATCAGATTATTAGACTAAAATATATTTGAAGTTACTGTTACCTGAGGGCTGTACCTGCACAGTCATTTTCCATTTCACCCTCTGCAGATATTTCTCCTGGGAGTAAAGGTAATGGGGGCGAGTCAATCTATGGAGCCACTTTTGAAGGTACCAACAGAAATTACTTAAATCACAGACTTTATTTTACTCTTATCCGACTCAACATGTGACCATCTTGCCTTTTAGATGAAAGTTTTGCTGTTTCCCACTCTAAGAGAGGCATTTTGGGAATGGCCAACAAAGGTCCCCACAGCAATGGATCCCAGTTCTACATCACCTTGCAACCGACGTCCTGGATGGACAAAACCTATGTAGCCTTTGGGTTTGTTTAACTACTATTTTTAAGAGAACTCAATTGATTAACTATATATATATATATATATATATATATATATATATACACACATAAACTCCAATCATACTGTTTTTTTTCTATTTCTAGTCAAGTTGTCGAAGGTGTAAACGTCCTGAAGAGACTAGAAGAGGCTCCAACTTGCAATGAGAGACCCAAATATGAGTGTAAAGTGGCAGCTTGTGGAGTGCTACCACTGTAACTCCAGAAGCTTTTCTCTGGTGTTTCTGGTGCTGCAGATACATTAACTAAGTTTTTTTTCCCTTCTCAGTGAGCAAGTATATCAATAAAAAGAAAAGGTTAAAGAAATTATATTTCAAAGTTTCTTCAATGGTGGCTAATTCAATCTGAACAACAGGCAAAACAACAAACAATTCTTGTTCATTTTCAGATATACATGCTGGATTTACATATAAATGTGTACTTTAAGCAGGAGTTACCAAAGTATGGGTCGGGACCCTACAAGAGGTCGCAAGAAACCAAGTCGGGGGCCGCGAAAGGGTTTTAACAATCATTGTGATGTGACGCCTGAGGTTTATCCAGGTCCAAAATATATGATAAAATACATAAATGTGAACATCATATTAAATAATGTACTTTGAAATAGATAAAGTATTTATTTATTTTGTTTAATGCACATTGCAAATATTAAATATACTGCTAAATTCTAAAATGCACAATAATATTCCATTAAATAAATAAAAATATATCTAAAATGGCTAGACTGATTAAATAAATATTATTCATAGACACATGAGTGAAATATGAAATATACACCTTAACAGTAAAATTGAATGTTCCATTAAATAATGAAATATACATTTAAAATTAGGAATGAAATCAATAAATGTTAGTTTATAGAAGTACTTCACTTTTTAGGAAACACAAAGCCAGACAGACGACCTACAAGCCAGCTCTTATGTCAGAGGATGAAGAGAACACATCCAGCCAGTCACAGTCAGAGAAACAGGACTACTCTGAAAAACAGGCCGATCTCGCCAATCTTGAACATCTATAAACAAAAGTGTTGATGGCAGCAGCACAGCTGATATTTCTCTTCAGGAAATTAAACAGCAAAATAGGAACAGACCAGATGAAACTACTCTGAGAAAAAGCAGAGAGAACATAGTGCTAGAGATTGAACAAACAAATTCAGCAGAGTGGGAGAATAGAGGTTTGATGGAGCAGAATGATAAAAAAGGGGTCCCTAAGTCCTCCAGCAGTCTCAGCCTATAGCAGCATAACAATAGAGATAGCTCAGGATAACCTGAACCACTTTAACAGAAATCACAATAATAGAATTAGTAATTTAATATGATTATATTTAGTTTTTTTATATATGTAATCACAAAGATGGCTGAGGGGATCATGTTTAAAGCCATACTTTAAATCTAAATTAACCCCGTTTTTGATGAAGGAAATTAGAGTACAACTATAAAATAAAACGTTAAATGGGATAATATTACAAAAATATAGCGCAATGGTTCCTATTACTGTTTTAAAGTTGAGCGTTTGTCGTTTTTTCCGATAAAGGGTAAAAAAAATCCCCACGTCGGTTCCGATCATCGCTCGTTTCTTCCGTGTTTCCTGCCCACTCTTGTTTTTTTTCTCACCCCGCCCATAAGAAGCGCCATGTGACCCTCCGAGTAGGAAGTGTCGAACGAGCAGAGCAGACATCAACAGCAGCAGCAGCAGAGCACAGGAAAGAAAAAAAAACGAGGAGGAACCCGTGAGAATCCGTCTTTAACGTTCTCGACGTTTCCGTGAAGAAAAGCTGTCCCCGCGTGAAGCAGGCTGAGCTGTAGGTCGGCGGCAGTCATGAACGTGAAGGTGGTGTTTTTCGCCGCAGCTCTGGCGCTGATTGGCGCAGCGGCCGCAGGTAAGTTTCGCGACCTTTTTACCAAACGGCTAAAGGCTAGCAGACCCCCCTCGGTTAAAACGGACTTAAGAGAAAACCTTTATCTGAATAATGCGAGGCTCTCTAGCTGTCTCACTCCCCCAGTCTGTTATTTTCCACACAAATGTTCATTTTTATATTTATTATTTATCCAGTTTCTGAACACTAGTTACTCGTAATGCCCACACCGGTCAGAGGAAGTCCTGCTTCCTCCCCTGCTAACGCTTTAGCTCGTTAATAGATGCTGTGACCTGGATCTGCCTGTATTGTGTAACGTTCAGAGTCATAATGTTAATTATTTGTCAACACAGTCACTGATTGTGAAATAGAAGCCAGTATGATGAGAATCATTGCATTACACCCAAACTTTACCTACAGAAACCATGTTAACTTCCCACTTTAATGTACACACGTGTAATAAAGGTTTCGGAAAGATCTCAGTTTATCTAACTTTTCCAGATTTTATATTTTTGAGCCCCCACCCCCTAGGAGTTTGATATAAGAACAAGCTGGTTCAGGTTTAACTGGTTTGTGTTGGACCTTCTTCTAGGATGTTCTAAAGCACAACTAAAGTCGTTATTTTATTCATTTACACAATAATTACAAAGTGTTTTTTTTTAAATAAAAATTGTAAATATTTTAAACATACGTTTGTTTTAGCACAATCCAACCACTATCTGACTGGATTTATTGTGGGATAGTGGCTAATGATAGTATTTAAATGAAAAACATATATATATTTGACCAAATTTTGGTTGACCAATTTAAGAATTGTACTTTTATGGGAATTTATCTTATCTACAAGCATGTAAAATATGTATCTATCTATCTACCATCTATCTATCTATATACATACACACACATATATATATATATATACATACATACATCCGTGTGTATGTATCTCTCTCTCTCTCTCTCTCTCTCTCTTGAGAGATGGATATAAGGTTGTGTATAAAGTTTGACACGCAGGAAAAGTTTTTATGTTTATCATTTACTGAAACAAATGACACAACATAAAGAGGCTCAAAACTACCAACAAAGATCGTAAGAGCAAAGAAGATAAAGATGTCAAAAATAAGTAAGATAAATCATGATGGAATTTTTTTCATGTGTAAGTGATAGACAAAAGTTAAATATTTGTGTTAAGAACATGTGTAATTCTCTTTAACTATTTCATCATGCGTGTTGCACCATATAACGGCTAGCTCATGCATCAGCATTACGGAAAAGGAGAGTGCGATTATTCAGCAGCTAAACAGCTGTGCTGGTTAACCAATGAGATTAAGGGTAAAACTTATGACCTTAGTTTATGATGTATTGATGAACTCCAGGACAGAAAATGGAAAATAAATGCTGAGGGTTTTTTTGTATAAGGAGTATTTTTCATTTAAAGCATTTATTCCAGTTTATTGTAATGTTTTGTTTAGTCATGGTGCCATCACATACCACACTTAAATATATAAATTTATTCCTTCTTTATTTTATTCTTGCATTTCTAACCAATTCTCATCAGACCTGATGTTTGAATCTGTGATGATAGGAGTTAAAGATCAACGCTTTAAGCACGATTAACCATAACTAAGTTAGTGTTTTCCGATCCTTTTTCAGATGATTGCTCCTATACGTCATGTGAGCTCTGTGTTGCCCGTTCTGAGTGCCATTGGCTCAACTGCACAAGTAAGTACCTCTTCTTGAAATATGTGACAAGTTGTTGAACCAAGCAGAACAGGTTTGCCTTTGTTCTCTTAACTGTGCATAGAGCTGAACTCATTGGTAGTTAGAATCCTGGCTGTGGAGGAAGGGCTCGTTTAGACTTATTAGAGCCTGAGTTGAACTACAGTCTTGGGTCAATGTTGGCTAGCTCAGCTCAGGCAAAATGATGGAAACTGGATAAAACTGGAATGACACAGACACTTGATTGGAGGGCTGCTTACATTTAAGAGTCAATGATTTATAGAATAAATATCAGGGATGGATTGAAAGCTTATCTTATATCTAATTTTGTCAATATTTCACCTGCCAGTAGATATTTTACACAATAATAAAGTGCTATTATCAATTAGCAGCGTTTGCCTTTTTTTCTCTAGTCCTTATGTCATGGTTGTAAATGAATCTTTTATATTAGAGATAAAAGGGGGAGATGCTATACAGCTATTTATAAATGAATCAGGATCTTAGCGTTCAATTGTTGTATATCATCAGTGATGACCTTCAGGAATCTGCTGCCAAAAAGCAACTCATGTAATGTTTTTTTTTCCTCCCCTAGTTGTTTCTTTCATGCATAGAAAGAAATTATTATTTTTTTTCTGGTTTATGAACTTAAAGATTTGTTTTAACCCCTAAAACCCTTAATGACTAATGTAATGGCAGCTTGCAGCGCCGCATTCAGATCTCTCCTACACAGCTGTCCGCCTGAAGCAGTGATAATTGTCAGCCGAGCACATTATTTAAAGCACTTAGACAGAAAGCAGCAGGCGGGAGGGTCTGACTTTCCCTCTAAAGAGGTGAAATCTCTTAGGTTTGTTGTTTAAAACAAAAAAGAAAAATCTACAGTCTGTAGATCAGTTCTGCCTGCAGGTTTCACCTCATGGGTTTTATATTATCTTAGTTTATATACAGAAATGCAAATACACAATATAATTTTAGTTATTTTAAACACGTGGACTGTAATTAATACTTATTACTTAAACATGGTTGTGTAACTCAGGGCAATGGTTGGCGCTCCTCCTATTTTCAACTCCACAACAGTGATAATCTTGTGCAATTGTTTTTATGTATGGTAAATTTTTCTGTTTGTTTATTTTCCTGAGCAAGATGAAAGTGTGGTTGCCTTCCTTCAGGCAGCTGAATGAGCAGTGTGCAGGAAAATCCAGAAGGGCACACCCAAGACACTCCTGCTTTTTTTCCCTTATATCTCATTAAAAGGCTTTTAAAGCATAGAAACATTATAATTAAACAATTTCACGGTTTTGAAACTTTCTAAAATCTTGGTATCATTACCCTTGATGGCTTCTTGCTACCTGCTAAGGTCTGAGAATGAAGTCCCAACAGATGGAGAGAAAAAAGGATATCAAATATTTTTGTAAATATTGTAAATAAGCCCATGTAAAGTGTTCATACCAAGGATGGACGCTATCAGGAAAACATGCTATAATGATGAATGACAGTATTCTATGATAATGTAAAGTAGGGGTGAAACAGTTAATCGGGTTACTCGTGATTAATTGATTATTGAAATAATTGTCAACTAATTTAGTAATCGATTAATCGTCAACTGTAGTATAGAGGCTCTAGCTTACAGAGGGACCCACTAGGAGCAGTAATTATACCCAAATTGTAAAAATATATATAAATATTTTGCCTTTAGGATAAAAAAAACAGTTTGGTCTGTCAATATGCTCTGTCCAGAACTACTCAATTTGAAAAGATTTAGTTTCACCTGGTTTAATTCTTTAAAAAATAGTTTTATAAGGAACCATTTGCTTTTAGAGGTTGATTGATTCATCCTAAAAATAATCATGAAATTATACGATTAGCATATCGTTAGTGGCAGCCCTAAAGTCAAGCAAATATTTAATAAAATGTATTTTAGGTTTTTAAGCTTCAGAGTATGAAAAGGAAGTCTGATCTAAAGAAGCATCACTAAATAGATAACTGTAGCTTAAAGAAACTGGAACCATCATAAAATGGTATTAAAAATGTGAACCTATGACTTTCCTGCTCAATAATTTTTTTTTGTTGTTGTTATGATCTCAGGGATCATTATTTTGAACCCAGAAAAACCAGACCTACTAGTTTGATTGGAAAACACTCTGTGAATGGCTAATTTTGAGCTCTGCTCCATTAGACCACTTCTCAACTTTGAAGAATATTGACCAATGCATGAAATTTACTTCGCTGGAAACCATTTTTTTTTTCCCCCTGAAACAACCGTCCTGTTAAATAGAAAAATGTCCAATATTTGCAGCATAAAAAGCGTGAATGGGTTGGGGTGAACTGAGCATTTTCAGAAGTTTCCTGGCTGTTGCGGTTGTAAGAGCTTTCATTCAGCTCCACGCTTAGTAAAACCAAACTAAGCATTACAAATCGTTTCCAGTCACCCAATGGTTTTCTATGTTAAAGCATCTCCCTCTAGGGTTTGGGGGTTTTCTTTGAATCAAAGATTCTTTGCTTGTTTTTTTTGCAGAATCAGTTTTTTTTTAACTGATTAATTTTCTGGCTTAACTGAGAAATTTAATTCAATTGTATGATTAAGGTTGTAATTCTGATGACATCGACGTTCAGTTTGACACAATGCATGCCTCTAGTCATTCTGAAGAAGACAAGCAGGAGAGGAAGTGTAGTGATGTGTTACAGGAAGCTGGCAATATCCCCAGCAGGACAAAGGGAGGAAGAAAAGCATAATGAGAAATGTTGGAGGAAAGTGTGTGCTGATAGGATAAAAGATCTGCTTTAAGTTTCCTTTTACAGGTCTAATCGCTAAAGTTGTTTGTAACCGCCAAGATAGCCGACCTGTTTGACTACCCCGCCCACATGTGAGGCTTTTATCCTCTACGGGAGAGTCTGTATTGTGATTTGGCAGCACCACTCCCTCCATCTGCTTTCGCTAAAGGTTATCTGACGATGCATCTCTGATATTAATTCAGAAATCTTGCAGGACAGGTAGAACAACACACATTTGCTTCTCTTTCTCTACCTTGCCAGGCTAGATGGGTAGGTTTTTCTTTTTCGCATGGGGAATTAATCTGACTTGATTTACTGTTCTATTTTGTGCACTGAAGGAAAGAACACAGAAACAGTTGTACACAGTGCAGTTATTAAGCATTTAGTATATAGAAACAAGAGCTGAAGATTCTATTGATTCAGTTTTCTTGTTTGTTTAAAGCAAAGCCCTTTCTTTAAAAATAAAAAAAAGTGACTCTTGTCTTCTAAATGCACTCATTAGAGACCAAAAAGCTACACGTACTTGGTTATGAAGAAGTACTGAGGCTGTTAACAACCTAATCTGACTGGAAATATAAACCAGGAAGGGATCACCTATTTAAAATGAAAAGAGCAGACAGCTGGAACATCAGCCGTGTCCACTGCAGTGGCTCCTCTGTAATAAAGGATAACCACACGCTGCGGGTACTGACTAAACACTACATTATCCCTGGATTTACTTTTGGTTTTAGGGATTTCTTGTAAACAAGCACTCTGCACTGAGAGCATGGTTTCCCTGCTGTTCTACAGCTTACACGTGTACATGTGAGCTCTGAGTGAGTGTAGATTGTGTCTGATCCTGCTGAGAGCCTCGAGGACTGTAAGGCTGTTCAGCACAGTGATAATAATGTAACCAGCTTGGCAAAGTGTGGGAGAGGGTCCTACCTTTAGCAGCTGCCTGTGACATAACACCTCTGACCTAATGGAGAAAGAGAGGGAATGTTCATATGGTTAAACACAAAGATAACAGTATCTAGTTGGATGCAAATTTATGGAAAATTGTATTTTATACTTCTACATGTAATTGAATATTAGGTGCACATGGAGTAAAGACTAAATGTTTATTTTTGTAATTTCCTAAACAAAATCAAATCAGGTTCATATTGCCTGCAGAGTGATACGTTTAAAGTTTTCAGGTCTGTTAGTTTGAAGATTTCGATTTTTATGAACTGCAACCAAAAGTCAAATGAATGGAAAGTTAAGTGGAAGAAAAAAAAATCTAAAAGGTGTTGTATTAGCAGCAGGAATCTGCAGCCTTGAGATAACAGTAAAGCTTAAGCAATTTAGGACTTCAGGGGGAGATCCTCGGTGTTCTGAGGCTGGAGTAAGTGCATCAAGAGATGCTGCTTTCACACATATCTAGGGTCTGAGCAACAGGTATAACACCAGAGGCATGAAGAGAAAATAACCGGACTGTTGCTTAGTGGTATGCAGCCCCTTAACCTGTGCTTGATTGGCCTAAACCTCAGAATCTGGATTTTTGTTAATAACAAGATGGGATGCCAGCTCTGATGGTTGAAGACTAGCTGCCTTCACCCAGACTCTTTTAAGATGTACCTTTATTCTATTTCTATAAATCAAAACTGTTTAAGTCATTTGTTTGCATGTTTCCTCTTCTCTGGGGCTTTTTTCCTCTGGCCAGTGGAAAATAAATCTTGCTAGATTATGTGCAGCAGAGTGACAAGTTCAGAAACATGTCAAAGAAAAGCTGCAGAGTGGCGGGGCTGTTTTGTGAAAGCTACTGACGTCCAACTGAGCCTCGACTGAATACCGTGCATAACTGTATAACAGCAAAGTGACACACTCAATAGACTCTTGCATCATGAGCTCCCCAAACTTATAATTATTGGACAAAAGCTTTTTGGAAATTACCCATTTTTAAAGCTGTGTGCCTGATGAATGTGTAATCTGCTATGAGGCGGTGGGAAATGTCATACAGGCTAAAGGAAGGCTTAAGAAATGATTTTTAAGGGTTGCTGGAGACCTGCTTTGTGGTAAAAACTGTGTTTTTTTTTTTTTTGTAATTTATGGGAAGCAATCAAGTGGGAGTCATTATGTTCAGTCACTCTAGGTTATGAGGGGCATCAGAGGCTGTATGCAGCAGCAGCTGCTGCACAGAGAAGGGAACAGGTCTCTTTATGAGGTTTCATGCATTCAGATTGAGAAGATCTCCACTGGATTACATAAAACAAATGTCGGAGCATTTAAGGACCTGTAATGGACCAGATGCAACTGTTTTAAATCTTTTTCTCTTTACTATAATTTGAAATTGAATAAAACATGAACTGTTCATTACATACATATAAGCTCTAACACTAAAGCCCCAGTGTACTGCTTCACGGAGCATTCATCTTGACAATCACATGGGTGTCACTGCGACATTTCTCACCTACGTCAAACTTCTTTTCTCTAAGCGATCGAAAACCGCCATATGGAGAGGAAAAAATATTTGTAGTTGCAAAAAAACAATGTTGAAAGAAAGCCTAAATAACACAATGGTCTTTAAATCATGTTTGAATTATGGTTCCCTTAATTTGAAAAATAAAAACATCAGATTTCTACGTCATCCTTTCAGCTGCACAGCTTTTATGCTATTGTTTTATGGTTAAACGTTAACAGCTGTTAAGTGTACATAGGACAATAACTGGGCGTGGAAGAGGATGCATAGTCACAAGATCCTTGCTGTCACAAGGACTCTTTGTCTTTCCACCATGACCAAAAAATATCCAGGAGAGTGATGGAGATCAATAAAGTCTCCTGTTGCAGTATATCCTAGTTATAAATCAGAGGAATGAAGAACCTTTCTTTGTCATGTTTCTGTTGACGCTAACATGATGATGGGGTAAAGACCAACCTGGGCATGGTCAATATATGATTAGATTACCTGTTAATATATGACAGCTTAACAATTCTATTCTACTCAAACATTTTGCTCCAGTTTTAACCGTGAGATATGATTTATAGTCGCATGTCGGGGCAGGTTACAGTTTCTATTCATCTATTAGGTACCGTCTGATAAAACATCCTGCTGGTATTGTGGATGTGAAATGGGAAGAGAATAAAAAGGGGTCACATTTATGTATCTAGGCTTAGTTTCTTTCTGAAATAAATCCCTTTTGAATTGACCTGGAAAACACAACTTATAATAGTTATTGATTGAAAACAATAATGGGTAAAGTAGTAAAGCTTTATCTAAAAGACAATATATGATTAAATGATTTCTTTAATTTCTACCCAGCTGGACCCAAAGCAGTGATTTTACAATCAGCCATTTTTAAAAATCTACTACACTTTCAGGACCTTCGATGGGGTATAGAACAGGACGATACAGATTGTCATAGGAACATTTTACATTTCTGTATTTGTGATTTTAAAAAAAAAAGGTTGTATTTCAAGTAACATGTAGAAATGGATTATTTCTGTTAGATTAGCATAAATAAAAATGATCAAAGCTCAGATTTGTTGACTAATTGAGGCCTTTACTTTTATCCCTATAGGTAAAAAAAAAATGTAACTTGGAAGTAGTTTATGTCTAAGTGGAATATTCAAAGATATTTGCTTAAAACAAAATGTCACCTGCAGTGTAGAGAAACATGTTAAGCTGATTTGAAACTAATAAGGTTGGGAGGTGGGATGGAGGGGGTACGTCCGCCCTGCCTCTCCCATGTGGAAGTAGGATGTTGGTCTGTGGGAGCAGCAGCTTTCACTGTGGGGGAGATGGAAAACGTATCACGCTTCATGGATAACTTCATCAGGTGCACCTCAGGGCTGCTTTCTGAAAATATCTTTGTCTACCTCGGTGGTGTTAGGATATTAAGCAAACATCAGGATAATCTGTCTAAGGAAATATGCTGACTGCGTTTTTTGTTTGTTTTTGTTTTTTCCAGTTGCGGGAACTGCCTGTTTCAACGCTACTATTCAAGCCAATGATACCTGCAACAATGCCAGCTGTTCACGTAAGTTGAAATGTTTATTCAGGCTAAATGAATAACAATGGGTTAGATGTTTCTTTTATTAAAGTACTGTTACAGACCCAATAGAATCAGCAGAATTTTTTTTTGTATTAAATTACATGGATTTCATGATTAGAGCTGCATTTCTCTGCTGATTCTAAATGGGTCTTTGTATTTTCTTACTAAAATGTTTATTAACAGTGTGTGTCAGGGATATTTGGGTTTTTGTTTTTCCTCTCATCTGTTGTCTATAATCTTGTTGTTTGGATGTTTTGTCTGTCTTTCCTTTGTATGCTGGTTTCCTGTCCAGTTACTACCCCCTCGGCTCCAACTGCTTCCACTCATACATCTGTTATCACCACCACGCCTAAAAGCAATACTACAGGTAACCACTAAACCCTCAGCTGTATGTGATCTGCGGGGTCAATTTTGATTTTGTTGTCTTAACAGGTGGATCAGGGGTCCTTTTCTATTTGTCAAGCATAAAGTCAATGCAGTATTTAGATACTGGTTCTATAATCCAAACTCTTCCAACTCTGTTTCATTTCAAGATCAAATAATTAAGTGAAACTGTGCTTCTGTTTAAATTGAAAAGTCAGATTTTTCTTCCTTCCAGTAGAGATGATTTACTGGAAGACCCTTCCAAACTGCAGCCTTCTCATCGGCCCCTTCTTCAATCCAAAACAAAATCAGTGGTTGCTGTGTTCTGCAATGTTTTCACCCTTGTTTGATTCAATAAAATGAGATATTAAGCTTTTATTCTCAGCTAGAGTTGCTAACAATAGTTAGCCTCATCACTGGGTACAGCACCTTGTTTATCAGCCTACAGCATCATTTCCAGATCAGAGATGGAAGCAGTTCATGGATCGCAGCACAAAGCGGTCCGTCCCAGAAGCATGATCCGTACCATCAGCTCATTTGCACATGCGTAAACAGACATACTCTGCGTCACCCTCCCATTTTATTTTGTAAAAAATACATAATTTATGTTTTTCCCAACAAAAAATATCTGTACCGGAAATGGGATCCTACAGATCCTGGGTGTATATCTGGTTGTGCATGCGCAAATGAGCTGATGGTACGGATCGTGCTTCCAGGAAGGATCAGGTAGTGACAAGCACTTTAGTTTGGCAGGTAATATAAAGTTAACTTGATATTCAGGGTTTGATGCCTGGGCTTTTAGTATGCATTTCTCAAGCAAATTGAACCTGACTTTTCTAAGCAAAAACAAGGCTTTGTTTTTGGTCCACTCTATAAATTTTTAAGCTCAATGGGAATCCAGACATTTTGAATTGAGAAAGCTTCCTGGATGGGGAGTGAAACGTCTTCAAACTTGGAAAGAAAAGTCTAGTGGATTGTTTTGTTTTGGAATGACTATGACTATAACCACCATCAAATATTTAATTAATAATAATACATTTTTTTTTTTTACTTTTGAGTGTTAATTCCCTTTAAATACTTATTAATTTAGGGTCACTGTTTTATCCTAAAGGATTTAGTTTGTTGGAACATCAGCTTGATGGAAGCTTTGATTGGAACATGAGCGTTTATTGTGAGAAGCAGGAGGCAGAAGCCAGTGGAAACTCTTAAAAAGGACAGCGAGGTGTGAAGCACATGCTTGACACCTTCAGCTCTCTAACGGTTTCACATTCACTCCTTTCTGCTGCTTTTTGTGGTTGAGTGAAACTATGTGATCTCTGTGAGGTAGAAAAAAGGCTTTTATTCAGTAGATGGGGACTGTTTATGTTTAAAATTGCTTCGGCAGGGCTATAAAGCGATGTGGATGTTCTGATCAGGATTGTAAGGATTGCAAGCTGAGAAGGTTTTGTGTTTGTGAAGGAATTATTCTCACTGTTAATCCATTTCAGGGAACGCTACATCTCTCCCCGTCACGCCGACTCATAGTGGCAACAGCTCCACCACAACTCCAGCCTCTACCAACGGTAGGTCTAAGCAGAATGTGCACAGACATCTCATTTCTATATGAATCAGCAAGCAGAAGGATGTCAAACTTTTTTTTTTTTATCTTCCGAGGGCTTTAATGGTATCGTTTTTGTAGTTCTTGAGTCATCTGACATGTTCATTGAGTTTAATTTGTTATATTTTAATGTCCTTTTGGCCTACTTTTTAACTGCAACTTTTTACAACACTGTCATTTTGGTATCTATCCACAACATTTCATCCTCAAAATTTTTCTCAGACTTCTCTGCCGCAGGGCGTCTCATCCCACCAAAAAAAAAAAATCAAAACTCTTGGCTAGCTTTAAGGGAAGCAGACAAAAAATAGTAAATGGATAAATAGTAATTAATCACATTGTTCATGGGATTCTCATTTATTTTTATGTCAGTTTGGCATCAACAATTAAAAGATAATATTTCCACAAAACATGCAGCAGTTATATCAATAATTAGAAGATGATCTGAAGACTTTTCTTACAAGTAACCTTTAATTGTTTTCATCTATCTTTCCTGTATATCAAACTTAAGATGTACCTATTTTTTTTTTTTCTTAAAGTGCTGAAGATTTGAAAGCTTTCTTGCGATCGTCACTCTTTAGATATTTTTATAGAATAAATATTATTTTCCAGTCGGGACTCTAGCTGGAAACGCCAAAAACATTATTACTTGCAGTGAAACATTCTGGTTGAATTAAAAGATTACTTTAGTTGGAAAGGGATCTAAATAATTATTGCCTAAGCACAGCACCCTGTGGTACTCCACAGGAAACTGGTGTGTAATCAGGATTTATAATAAGCGGAATCTCCTAGAATCCGATTGAAAATTGACCGTTGGTCCCTAAAACACGTTTAAATTCCATTAAAAGATCATCAATTATGGACACATTCTGCATGAGTAACTGTGACATTTAACCTACCTTTGGGATTTATAAAGTAATTTTGAATTGAATAAATACATTTAACCTCTCAAAACCCACTGTTTTAAATTAATAACTCAGAATGCATGAAAATTACTCTGGTAAAATGTTTACCAATATGTTAGACATCGTTGGGAAGCTTAGATTTTCCACAATTCAACCACCTAGTTCATTTTATAGATATTGGGAGCACCAAAGCACAATTATACAGGGTTCCCGCGGGTCCTTAAAAAGTCTTAAAAGGCATTGAATACTTCAAAATTAGATTAAGGCCTTAATTGGTGTTAAAATGTCTTAAATCAGTCTTTCGTAGGTCTTAATTTTTAAAACATCATAAATAGGATTATTTTTATTACGATTTATTTTTGTAATCTAACTAAAACGTTAAAAGTGACAATTTCTTTTTTCTTTTTATAAAAAAAAATTATAAAAAAATGGCTCGCCATTATTAGTTCTGTCCCGATAGCAGAACCAATAGAAGCATTGTTGCGGCCGGGACATTAACTTTTTGTCTGGAAAATATGAGCAAGTGTAAATGTAACGAAAATTGTCTATCCAGCCAAGAGTTTTCTCCATGGCTAACACCAGGGAACATACATGAGGCACAGAGTATTTTGTGCAAAAAGTCATTCAAGCTTCTTGCACAAAATTCGAGAACGATGGGAATTAAGGCAGTGGAGTCGCACATGCGAAGCACGAAACACAAAGCGTCAAAATCGAGTTACTGAGAAACAGCCGGTATTTCTCAGTTCTGTTCCACCCTTGTCTCTGCAACGCCTCCACTTATCACCAAATCAAACATACTAAGAAAACGATACAAAGAAAAATAGCTGCAAAAAAGACTTAGCACTGGTTATGTTGTGGCTTTAAAACTGATTTGTTTTGTTCCCTGCTAAAACAAAGTTTGTGAATTCAGTTAAATAATTGTTAAAATATATCTGTCATTTGTGTATTTTTAGCTTTCTTCCTGTATGGGAAGCTTTTCAAAATTTGAAACAGTGCAGTGGTTTATGTTATAATAAACCTTTGGGTAAAGTTGTCGCAAGAAGGTTTTTCTTGTGTTTCTTGTGAATTTGGTCTTAAATTTTTATTTCAAGTGGCATTAAAAAGTCTTGAATTTAACTTGCCTTATGCTGTAGGAACCCTGTTATAGCATGTCGAAATGTAGCATGACGAAGCAGCCACAACAAGCAAGCATGACTTTAGTACTGCTGTTCAAAAAAGACTTATTTTCGAGAATAAATAAAAACAACTTTGAGTCTTGTTTGAACTGATGCAGCTTGGGCTTGATGAAGCCTGGGTGTTTTACTCACCCAATTTTCATGTATATATTCAGAAACTAGAAGGTGTTAGCTTTCAAATAATGTATCACACATGTAATTTCAGCCTACAGTTCCTCAATTATTTGCTTTTCCATTTGGGTATGCAAATTAGGTGAATTTCCCAAAAATGAGGTGGATATTAAGAGGTTAAAATACTTCACAAAGTGTTAAGAAATATTTCTCAAAACATTAAAAATATGTTTTTAAAAATAACAAAACATAAAGAAAGAAAAAGCTAGTAGCACTTTTTATAAACTTTCTGATAATAACGGCTCTTTTCTTTGTGTTTTCTTTAAAGTACCGGGTACCACAGTGGTGCCCCCTCACAAGAACTCCACATTCGATGCTGCCAGCTTCATCGGTGGAATCGTGCTCGTCTTGGGCCTTCAAGCCGTCGTCTTCTTCCTTTACAAGTTCTGCAAATCCAAAGATCGTAACTACCACACCCTCTGAAGCGGCTACACTTGATCCAACCTGTTCTTCGCTAATATAGACCCTTAGGTGTGAACCCATCAAGGTGACCTCAAACAGCGTTTCCATTAATTTTTTTTTTTATTTTGTGTTTTACACCACATGAAGTGTGGACCTGCATGTCTGATTCATTTCATCCCAACATGCACATATCGAGTCAATCTCCTCCGATGTGCATTTAGGCCTCAAGCATGCAGATTACATAACCTACCACCATTAGTCATCCTGGAAAGAGCCTTTTCCAGTGAATTGAGTGGGCTTGTGTTATTTACAGCCCCTCTCCTCATGCCTTCAATTAAATGCACCACATAAGACGAAGAATTAGTCATTTGCACACGGTAGCTTTCCTGTTGATGCTTGAATATAGATTTTTCTTTAACCTGATTTGGAAACGCTGTTCGAGCTTGTGTTGAATAGGCTAACAGATGATTGTTTTTTAGTCTTTTGAGAAAAAAAAAATCTTCACATATTTGATCCAGTTGGACTTAAAGTAACAACTAATCATTTGATGTTAAAACTATAAAAACAAAAAAAAGTTTTGAGTATTTTCTGCTGTTAGGTTCCGTCCTGGGAAGCCTCTCGCCCAACACAAGATGTTAAAAAATGTCAAACACCAACTGCCGGTAGAGCAGCCCAACGCAATAAATAATGTATAGAGCTCATTTCAGAACCACAGATCTCCCTGATCTCTATCTTTACTGGTCATTAATTCTTATGGGCGGCTCGCTTAGAGCAGGCCCTTATCTTTGTTTTATTTAAACTGGGTCAAAATGAATTATTGTAGAATATTTCCTAATTTGTTTAATGTGCAGACAGAATGAGGTGGCATGCACCTTTCTTGATGTGGACAGTGAAGTGCCTTTGATGTCCAGTGTGAGTGAAAGCGAGTAAAGGTGTTTTTGTTTTTTAGGTCCTTGTTGTTTTCTTGCTAAAGATTAACAGTATCACAGCGATGAGGTTGCTTAGAGCTGTAGTACCTCAACTGAAGGGGGAGGAAAATGGAGGATTTCTGTCCTCCTAGGTCCTTGTTTGGTTTGCAGGTGCAACAGAAAGTCTAAACATGGCAGTGGCAGGATGTTCGCACGATTCTGCCACTAGAGACTTTGCTACATCATGGTTCAGATCGAACTAAGCTGTGAGGAAAATATTTAGTTTTAGGGCCAACATGTTGAAGAGGCTGTGTGTTATGCAGAATAATTGCGCATCATTGGCAGGTTGAAGCCTATTCTTCTTACTAGCTAGCTGCTAACTTCTTTTTTTTTTTTTTTTTGGGTTTATCAGCTTTGTCCAACCTGTAAATAGCTACATCCTGTTTCTGTCCTGCTGAAAGAAAAGCCAAAATGTTAACCAGAACTTTAACCTTGTGTTGGCTCTGCTTTTCTTTACCTGTAAGTGCATGCTGGATGCTTTTTCTCATTGCATATGCAAATAGTAATTTAGTCGCAGTCAGAAACCACTTTAATATTTGTGATAAGCCCATGTGCTCATGGATGAATCCCTTGAAATGGTATACATGAAGCCAAAGTCCTGTTTTTTTTTTTTTTTGGCATGTTTGGTTTGAATATGTAGGTTACAACCACAAAGTAACTAATGAATGCGGGTGTTTGTTTATGCTTGTATATCTATATATATTTTTTTTGAGGTTGCATGTGTGAGGTTTCTTTTGAAACGAACCTACAGTCATGAGCAAGAAGGCTAAACATGCCCACCGTCAGCTGCACCATTTCCCTCTGCTGCATGTCTAGTCGTTTTACACAAATGAAGAGAAATATTCTTTCTAGCTGCATTCTCTAATGGTAACGTCAACATTCTGGTGTGTTACAACACCGCCTTGTGTCGACGTCCATTGTGCCGCGTCTTGCTCTGCGCACCTCTCCGGGAAAAGTGCCTTATTCAGTTATCATCCATTTCCATTTGTTGTGAAATGAACAAACCAGATGCCATTTTAACTAAATATCAGCGAGACTCGGCACTTTCAGGCTCCTGCAGAGTGGTTTTCTGTGTTGTGCTTAAATGTATGTCCGCTGCTCTCAGCCTTAATCTCTGCTGCGAAGTGACAAGCTGTCCTTGTAATGCCTGGACCACTTTCTCTTTGAGTGTCCTAAGTTCGCTTTGAATGACGAAAACCATCAAACGAATTATATATTTGAGTCAGGTTGTCTCCTGAACAGCTTCTCAGCGGCTATTTGTAATAAAACGCTGCGATAGAAACCAGAGACAGACCTCTAGTGTTCTCTATTTCAACATGCCACCCCCCAGCACAGATGCACCCACCCACCATGACTTGAACAGTTTGGTTGTAACCTGCTACCGTTTGCTGTTAAGGATTTTAAAGTGACATTAAGATATGTTAGATCACCGTACAGTTTTTGACCAGGCAGTATTGGCCTTCTTCGCCTTGTGGCTTTATTGCTAATATTGCACACTGTGTCTTTCACTGTCCATTAGTTCTGTTGGTACGACTTCTTGCTTTTCTCTTTAACACACAAACGTATATAGCCATATGTAGACACTGAACAGTGCCACAATGACTCTCCTGGAATGTTTTTTTTTTTGCTTTATTTTTATTGTGCCTCTTACAACCCTATCCTGCTTTTTTGTTGCCTTGTTTTCTGGTGTTTAAATTTAGTTTTACAAAATTTAAACCAATAAAGTTTGATTATTGTTGAACAAATGGTCTTATTTACTCTTCATTTGATACCCGGCTGTAATTTACATAAGCAGGGTTACAGTTGTTGTGGTTACGGTCGCCCTGATGGTTAAAAGGCGTCGTATCAAGTTCCACTGATTCTTTGTCTTTACTGTAACTTAATATAGGCTCAACAGATTGACCTGCTGCAGAGGAAGTGAGTTTGCATTTCTCTGCTTGTATTTTAATGCAATGTTAGAGAAAATTGCTTTCTGTGATTTGTTTCAGATTTACATATCTGACAGATATCCTGAGTAAATAAAAAATTATTTTAATTTAACTTTTTAAAAAGAGAATCCAAACTAATTATCCAAATCTGGAGACTCACTCATCCTTTTTCCAGATTACTGGCTGAGCTAATCAAGTGTTATTTCCTTCCAATCTGCTTTCCTAAAGAATGTGTGTGTATATATGTATATTTTTTATTTTATTATGTTAAATGGGATCCAAAGTTTGATTAAGACACCCAATTTCTGGTTTTCCTGGGGGTTTTTTTCTCTAGCATTTCAAAAGTGGCTGTTCTCCTTCAGATTTTTTTTTTTTTTTTTTTTAGAAATTATAGTTAAAGAATTCCTAAACATGCTGTTTTTTTTTGTGTGTGTTTTTTTTCTACTTTTACTAAAACAGCAAAACGACCCCAGACATGTCTCACACTGATTTTTCTCAGCTGCTGTTAATTGGTAATCGCCAACTTTTTTTCTTTCTATAGAGCAGGCTTTTCTGCTTATTTTGCATTGCCAGCAGTGGCTTATGCCTTCCGTCTCTTACGTAATGGAGTGCACCGGCTGAAAACTGCCACCAGCGCTGCAAAAAGCTGTCTGCTGCTAGCCTGACCAGCCAGTTAAGGCTCAATACTCTCTGGTCTAACATAGACCAGACCAATCACAGTGAGGGAGGCTGGCCCAAAATGCAACTGTACTTTACTGTAGCCACAACATCAAGATTACGCCTATAAAAGAGAATCCCTTTAGTATCTCACTTAAGAGCTGTTTTTGTAAATAAAATTTCAACAACTAGCACCTGAAAGAGCTTTTTGTTTTTAAAAAAAATTAAACTGTTTCCTCTCACTTCTTCCAGCATTTGAACTCTTGACTACCCATTTCTTCCTGCCTGAAATGTTGAATATACAACATAAATCAGTCTGGCTGGTCGGCTTGTCTGTTGCTCCCTAAGGAATGGATGAAGTGCAGGGAACAAATTTTTTGGTATTTCATTTTTTTTTTTTCTCCAAACAACCTTGCCATTAATACCCTCATACTTTTTTTTTTTTTTTTGTAGTATAACCTCTTTATAAAAAGGTGTTAATGCCCATCAAATGGAAAACTGTCAGTTAGCTGTCTTCCCCATGACTAATGTGGCCATAATAGCTTTTATGTTCCATACCCTGATGTGATGATCAGAGAAACTATATTATTTTTCTGGCTGTAGCCTGTGATCACCAGCATTAGCAAACACTTAGAATCTACCTGTGTACAAAGGGCAGTGATATCTGCTGACTATAAGTATTTCAATAAATGCAGATGTACTTGTAATCAATGATAAATGGAAGAAACGACTAAAAGAAATCTGCAGGGAACAGTTTGTTTTCTGTTGTTGCAAAAGTTAAAAAAATCCAGAGAAACTAGTCTCATTCATTTGCTTCATAAGTTGTATCCACCTTATGAAGCAAAAAAACACCACTAATGCAAATGCTAGAGGGGTGTGTTGACTCTAGTCCAGCTGTCCATTTTCTTAAGGTAAATAATCAACAGATCATAATTCAGGTGTCTAGGAATAAAATGACTTTTTCTTCTTGAGCAGCTTTGGCAGATCTTCCTCTGCTAAGGACATCTCATTGAGTTTATACCTTGAATAAGACTGGTTTGATTCTCTTGCAGCAAAATTCTCTTTTGTTTTGTCAAAGCACACCTCTGTTATTCAGACAGACTTGAATTTTCAGTCACGAGGTATCGAAAGTTGCACGGTCGGGATAGGCACGGAAAGCTGCTGCAAACGAGGGATCGTACCTCCACTAACCTGATTGTGGTGTCCAGCCATGCTCTGTAATCTAATATAGGGTGCAGTAAGACAATGGATTGGGCTTCATCTCCGTTGGCCACATGGTAAAATCCCAATCATACCAAGAATACCAGAACCAGCAAATGTCAGCTGCACAACAATCTCCATGCAGAAAGCCACAAGCTGCTTTTTCTACTTGTAGGGTTGAATTGGAAACCTGAGGACACATTAATATCCCAATCCATGTAAACATGGGGAGAAATTCAGGAATGTTATGAGGTGGTTAGACATTTGCTTCTTCTGTCCATAACCTAGAGAAATAAAAAGGTCTTGTCATGCGACCAGTAATATAGAAAATCTTGATCAAATTTTGCTTTGGTCAAAGCTTACTCGGCTTCTGTTGGGTTTTTCATTGAGAAATTGTAGAAAAGAAAAAAAAATCTGAATAGAACAATTTCTCTTTTCTGTTATGGAACTGCTTTATTTGCTAAACATCTCTTCAAATTAATGCTGCAGGACTGCCATCTGGTGGTGGATTTGATGAAGTTCGGAAGTGACAAGTCAATTTTCAATGTGAAAAAATGTTAAATATCCAAGAGTATGCTTTATTAAAATTGAGGATCATTAAAACATTATCTAACCCATTTTACCCAGCAGCCTTTAAGGGCTTCCTGTTAGCTGAGTCATAGTTGGTATGCTGATGATCCATCAACAGACTTTATCTCCAACTGCATGTCTCTGACAGGCTGACTGAGGAGGAGTATAAAAGAAAAAAAAAAAAATCCAGGGAAAGCCATGTCCTCCACAGAGCTGTAGGACAAAGAAGACACTCATGTTTCCCAGGAGACATCGTCCTGCTTTAGACTGCTTCTGAACTTCTTGGTCTCCCTGAGGAGCTGCAGGTTGTTGTGACTCGCAGCACCTTTCCTCCCAGTTTTCTGTTTGGCTTTAACAGGTGATGGGACAGGTGGCTCGATCCCAGTCACCTTCCTGACCGACTGATCCTCTGTACGCTGCTGCCTCTGCGACAGCTTTTGTACCTAGAGTGAAGAAAAAAAAAAAAAATGCACAAGATTTCTACTCAATACCATTTTAATATCTTTTTGGAAGTTTCAACAACAATGTTGGTATGAAAAATGGGTTTATTTGCATGTTGTAGAAATACAACACCAAGCAGGAAGTTGGCAAAGATCAATAATTAACCAACCAGCAGCATAAGAGTGAAGCTGTTATTTTTAGGTGCAAGTACCGTCTGCTGATGTTTGCGAAGTTTGGTGATCTGGGCTCCCTTCTCCTCCATCTTGGCAGAGAGCCTTTCCAGTTCTCGCTGCAGGTCTTCACGATGCTCATCGTCTTGGTTTGCTTCTATCTGATGCTCTAACTCCTGATACTCACTGACAAAAAACAATATTTGTAAAATATGAGTTTAAAAACTTTTTTTTTTTTTAATAATGGGTACTTACAAGCTCATCTGTCCAAGCTCATCCTGCAGAGCTAAAAGCAAGTCAGACAGTAAAGTCAGCGACTGATCTGCAGGTGGACTGTCTGACTGCGGAGCAGAATCAGAAAACTCATTTTGAAGGTTTTTTTTGACTCCACATCCAGGTCTCTGCAAGGAAATCACTCGCTCACAAAGCTGAGGATGGTGGTGCTTCATCATGTGGAGGATGCTCTGAACGTTGGCGTGCACTGAATGGCTCGGGCTTGTCGACTACGGTGGGTAGAGGTAGACCGAATTGAAAAAAAAAAACTAAGTTATGAAAACTAAAATCAGAGCAGGAATAGTCACTTACTGTTCCTATTACAAAAGGCATCTTCTTGTGCCTCGGGCTTCCTGATGGGAGCTCATCTTGTTTTGAGGTTTTCTTTAAAAAGAAAAAGAATAAAATCTGATGTTGAAACTATGATGTGCAAACGGTTCATATAATGCAAGCACTGGCAGCAGATTGGCAGAACAAGCCTCCCACCTGATTTGTCTTTTTGGTTTTCTTCTGCCTTGTGTCTTCAGTAGGCGGCAAGGTTAAATGAAGGTTTACATCCAACTCCCTCCGTAGCTGCGAAAGAAAATTATTTTGCTGAGTTTGACTAATTAAATAAATGTAACAGACTTTCCAGCTTGTATTCTTGGTCAGACCTAAATCAAACAAAAATGAAACCAAAAAAATAAAAACAATTCCTATAATCACTACTTGGTATAGACTCCGTAAGCCAGAATTCTAAATCAAAACTTTGAGTCCAAACATTTTTTTCAACAAGCTTGTTAGCTCATTCATTAAGGTCCCATAGAGCACTAGCTTTAATAGAAAAAATAAAGCTTTAATCTACTGTGTGAGTGAGTAATTGTTAGCCACTTAGGAATTTAGCTTTTTGTCTGCAGACCTGTTTAGATCAACCTTGCTTCCAAAAATCCCAGTCAATAATAGCAAAACAATGGTTTGAACAAGTTTAACCTTAATGTCTTTGTATTTTTTCCCCTAGAAGACTAGATTTTTACTTATCAAAAAACTGCAAAAGTTTCCCCAATTTGATTTTCATTTGTTTCTTTATGTTTTTTTGTTCAGTCCAACCTCAACAGAATATTTTCTCATATTTGGAAAGCCACTGAATGAAGAAATCACTACTTCAGGGTTTATACAGGAATAAGTAACTGTTATTTAATGCTCTTTTAATGATCTTAGAAATAATTTTATTGCCATCAACAAGTACCCATGACTCATTATATATATATATATATATATATATACATACATACATACATAAATAAAACACGGCAAAATCCTTTGTCATCTTTACCATCGACAAGTTGCAGGTCTCCAATTCTTTGTTTTCTAGACACTTTTGTTCAAATTTGCATTTTTCCATTCTATAGGTTTTTCTCCGCCTCGAGCTACTTTTCTGAACATGTGGCTTTACGATCAACTGGAAGCAGTTCCGCAAAAACACGCTGAACCAGTTAATTCTAATCTAATATATCTGACGAAATTGCTTTATAACATTTTTTTTTCTTCTTTAAATAAACCATTTTTAAAGCCACTATAACCACATTTAATGAATTTTAGGCCTTTTTAAGGCCTTAATTAAAAAGATAATTTAATGACTTAATTATTTTTAAAGACCCGCAGAAACCCTGTACTTAAACTTTAAAGGTAACCTATCCTTCATATGTTGCAGCTGTATGTTCAAACATCGTGGTTAAGGACATTTATTCCAATACATTTTCAATCATTCGGTTAGAAGCATGTCTTTAATCTTAGGCAAAGCATGTTTATTTGTATAGCACAATTCAGTACAAAGACAGTTTTAAGTGCTCTACACAAATAGACAAAATAGAATCCAAAACTGATATTAGCAAGAATCTAAGCGCGCTTAGTGTGCTTATCTGACAAATAGCCAAAATCTATCTCTGAACCAAATCTGAAAATCTTATGGTTTATTTGTAGCAGGTTACTTGTTAGAAAGACATTTTAAAAAGAAAAATAAGGGTGAGACTGACTTACCTCCTCTGCTTTCTCCTGCACCAGTTTACGTTCATGTTCTTCTTTTAGCAGCTTTTGCTCCAGAATAGCAAGCTTCATCTGAAATTCAGGATATAATAATTAAAAAAACCTACATGTCAGGCTCTCAAATGCCTCTGTAACCCATGAAAATGTGTTGCTGTATTTGTTGATCAGCTTTTTTTTTTTGGAGGATATTATTGATCTAGTGGGGAGAAAAAATGAACACCCCTCTGTTGACTAACTAGTTCAGAAGCCAGTAGATGAATTCGTCGAATAAAGGGGAACCATTTAACCTTTAAGATTTTTCAGGGCATTTAAAGAGAAAAAAAAATTATGTGAGTTCTTAGTTTTTATACATTTTTCCTATTTTGTTATGACACCAAATAAATTCTGCTTTAATGTGTTCACAATCATCATATGTCACAGGTCAGGCTCAATAATAAAAAAAAAAAAAAACTTGACTTAAATCCTACCAGAAACGGATCAATGTTAGTCCATTGCAGATAATCTAAAGTACAGAGTAGACTCTGCAACTAAATGGAAACTGTTACCTCTGCCATCGTTTGGGTTCTACTCAGTTTGAGATACTCTGATTCCAGTTTCTCCAGCTTCTCTCGTTGATTCTGGTTGTTTGAGCTGCTTGGCTGTTGGCTCTGCAGGGAGGCCTATAGTTAATAATAAAAAATAAAAAAATGTATAACATAATTCTATACTTTTGCTGACTGAATTTCCCAGACATGTAACACTATACACTAAATTTTTCCAGAAATCAATATTGTGCATTTGTCTTGTGTTTTTTTTTTTTTAAACCTATAAGTCTTTTGAAAAGTTACTATTTTACCTCGTTTCCCATCAGAACGTGTCTCTCCTTTTTCACATTCTCGACCATTTTCCTCATGTAGTCCAGCTGCTTCTCGAGGACTTTGCAGCGAGCTTCTGCAGACTGCAGCTTCAGGTCCAGTGCTGACCCTGACAGGTTGGCTTCAGTTCGGCTGTGTGACGCCATGTCCTGCTGATGTTTAGGAGAATCCTGAGAGAACTGAGCGTAACTCCTCTCTGCTTGTTTCCTCTCCAGCTCCAATCTCCTGATCTTCTCCTGAAGGGTCTTCAGTGCATCTACGACAGCTAATAGAGGGAATTATAGAATACACCAAAGTTTAACAGAAAATTGTCACAAACAGATAAGATATTGACCGGTAGCTAATAATAAAAATAAATAAAAAAAGCTTTCACACCTTTGCTGTCTATACCACAAGTAGTCTGAGACAGGCGCCTGCTGGTCTGGTCCATGTTGAGAGGTGAAAGAGCAGGAAACTCCTGATGTTTAGAGACTGACAGAATCCTGTCTGGAGGCTGGTAGTAGCTGCCGATGTAACTGTTTTTGGAAGGAGAGTCTAAAATCTGAACACAACAGGGTCTTTTATTTAGAGACTGAGAGCAGGCAGAACCATTGTTTTTCCTCATCAAATCGAGAGGCTTTCTGTAGAGAAAAAATATGCTAAATCCAAACAATTTCATGGCCAAATATGAAGACAGCGTATCATCATTTCAACTGTTTGCCTTGATATAACTTTGCAGTCAGGCTGTCTTGTACCTGAATAACTGGTGTCTGCCTTGAGATTTTGCATGCTCAGATTTGTTATGTTTTGCAGTCTTTGTAATATTATGCCGAGTGGCTCTAGCAGTGATTAGAGCAACAATGAAATTATATGAAGTTCAACATATTATCCTTATAAAACAAACATAAGTTAAATTGGATTACTTTAAAGTTTTGAGCCCTTAATTATCAGGGCAAATTTACAGATTCACTGCGATCAGCCAAGTGTGTTTAGGGTTATAATAAGAACTTGGAAAAGGGGGAACTGACCTGCCGCCATTTTTCAAAATTTCTGAAATGTTACATAATGCAGTATTTTCTATCAATTTGCATAAGAGGTGATGACGTTCTTGCACAGACCTGATTCTCAATAGAACCATTTTAGTGTCTTTTCCATTTTGTAAGAGGCAGAAGCCTTTAGAAAACAAAATAATTGTCTAAAATATTTGCATTCTAGCTTCGATTCCCAGCCCGGGGTCTTTGTGCATGGAGTTTACATGTTCTCCCTGAGCATGCGTGGGTTCTCTCCAGGTACTCCGGCTTCCTCCCACAGTCCAATAACATGACTGTTGGGTTAATTGGCTTCTCTAAATTCTCCTTAGGTGTGAGTGTGTGCATGAATGGTTGTTTGTCCTGTGTGTCTCTGTGTTGTCCTGCGATGGACTGGCGACCTGTCCAGGATGTACCTCGCCTCTCGCCCATTGACTGCTGGAAACAGGCACCAGCACCCCTCGAGACCCCAATTGGGAAAAGCGTGTTAGATGATGGATGGAAATATTTGCATTTGTTATAGAAAGCTGCTTAAACCTGTGTGTTTATTCTATACGTACAGGTTTCCCTGCTTAAATATTAAAGTCTGTGACATTTCAATTCTGAAAAATGTTATTTACTGCAATATTTGATATATGGCTTTTATAAGAGCTACAATATTTCTCAAAACAACAAAAAGCATTTCGTTTAATAGGTGGTCTCTCAGCTTTAACTGGTCAAAGTTTGCATAATTTAGCAAGCAATTTAATTTTTTTAATGATTGTTAAGATATTTCATACAAATTCGGTTGAGTTAGAGTTTAAGTTTAATGCAAAAATCTCATGTGTAAAATAATGCAGCCCTAGACGAACTGAAAGGTTGGTTCTCTCCATATTTTGAATGCTGTTTCCTTTCCTGTTTAAACGTTTAAAAATGTTGCACCTGAGGTACACTATGAAAAAAGCTACCAATTAAACGTTAGAAAACATTTGCTTCAAAGTAGGTAAAACAATTTTGTTTTTGTTTTTTTGCAAGTTTTTGTTGAAAACCCATCTTCACATATAGAGATAAACATATTACTGGGAGAAACAGCTTTACTGTACTATAGAGCATCTGTTATATTCGTTTAAAACTAAGGACCGACATAAATGAACCAAAAGAGAACTAACAATAACTGTAACAAATTTAAGCTAACGCTAGCTAAACATATTAGCTCCAAACTATCGTTACCTTATCGTGATGGGTTTCCATCCTGTAACAAAGTGAAAAGATATGTTGCCAACGTCGTCTAGGTAGCACACTATCTGTTAAGTCAAAGTAAAAAAAAAAAAACAAAAACAAAAGAAAAAACAACGGCGTTCTGCTGCAAGTTTGGTCAACACCAAGCGAGCAGTCCGCCGATATTAAAGTTCCCTCCATTCACTCGCTCCCTTCACTATAGTTCCTATTCCATGGAGAGTTCCACACCTTTTAAGAGCACACCCGACCAATGTACTTAAATGATTTCTTAAAATTCAAAACAAGCAGATCAATACATAACATTGATTAGTGGTTTCTAGATGCAGATTTCGAAACAAAAGTTATATATTACACAAGCGCAGGGAGATAGTTATCAGGGCTGTCAACTCTCACCCATTTGGGAGTGAGACTCACCCATCTTGTCTGTCTTCACGCACTCTCACTCCATATACCCAATTTCTCGCACTAAAAAAATGACAGATTAAAACTCAACTCTGTTCCACTTATTTGTGCATAAAAATACCATGGTGATTAAAATGCAGTTTACGTTTTTAATACAACCTTAGTTCTAACACACAAGGACCATGTTTTGCTCACAAGTTAAATAATTATTGCTCAGTCTAGTTTAGTAATCTCCGGTTGGCATTTAGGAATAATCAAACCAACACAAATATTTTAATTCTCAAAGCTTCAAGGTTTACCTCTTAAACCCATAGGAGGTCCACAAAAAGAGAAAGAACCATTGCATTTAATTTTTTAAAAGATCAGCCACCAAAGAAAAGACCAACTGCATACAGAGAGGATGTGCAGAACAGCTCAATTATCCTGGATTCCAAAAGGAGAAACCAGAGGGATGTTCTTCTTTTATTATTACTTATCTCATTCATTTATTTTTATATTGGTCCATCGAATATGTTTAGAAACTTTATTTCCATCACACCTTCCAAAATGAAACACCCAGAGAAGTGCTGTCTCCTCTCACGGTGAGTTTTTATAAAATCTACAGCCTCCTAGAAGATCTGAATTGTTTAACAGTTTTGTCAACTGTAAGTTTGACTGTAACTAATAACATAACGAATAAAGCTTTTTTATCCATAGCTTATTACCAAATATTCATACACAGTGTAGTTTGCATAGGTTTCGATTGCACTGGTTCCTGTATCAGTGCCAGTAATCCAGTAATAGTTTATTAGTTCCCCATTGTTTAATTTACTTAATTTACAAAATTGTGAAATGCTTAGTTTAAAGTATATTTAAGATGTAAGTATTTTAGTAGGGCCCATTCTGCTTTACTTCAATTCTCTAAAAAAAATCACCAGAATGAAGAAAATAATGTACAATGTCAGAAAAAAAAAATCCACATAACTACGGACCACTTAATTTTACTCATTAACATTTACTGTGCTATAAAAGTTCCCCATTTTGCCACTCTGAAAACCTCCAACCTATAGCTGCACCTGTCCTCATGTAACCCTGACAGGGTTAACTGTCCAAACTATTTCAAAATCTCCCCCCAAGGTTTGGTGAAAAGTTGGAAGCCCTGAGTTATGGTTATGGCATCTTTAACGAATAAACCTGTAAGACATGAAGATGGAAGTTGTGAAGAGAAACCTGTGTAGAGGCTGGCAATCATATGTAAGAATGGCGCAGAGAACGTCTAGACCCAAATCCCGGTTAAAATCTACAACAAGACATAAATATTAAGCAAATATTCAATAAAAAATGTTGTTTTTCCAAAAGCGGAAAGTTCAAAGCTGGTCTATAGATGCAAAAAACAGAATAAAGCCAGACATATAACCTGAACCCTAAATCCAGATTTATTTTCACCGTAGTTGAACATTAAAAATTTGAGCTGGTACAACATTTTCTTACAGAATCTTTTCTGAAATAATGGTGTATTTATAACATTTGAAATTGCTAAAAGCTTCCTGGATGGGAAGCAAAATATCTTCAAACTTGGATAACACCAACAGGGTAGTATAATAAGACTAATACATCACATCTTTTCTGCCAGATCTCACAGGTACAAATTATAATTTTCAACGTTTTAAGTGTGAAAAAGGCGTATGGCTCTTAGACAAAGAATGCTGCATTATATGGCTTTAAAGGCGTAATAGATGTTTTATTATTTATCAGATGGATATAAAAAGAAATACATTTCCTAATTAAACCAGCCATGCTTTCAACAGAGCAACAGGATAAGAAAAAAACATGGGCTGCAGAAAAGAGCTTGCTAGGACACGAACATCGATTAATATGTACTGTTTTGTTTTCTGCCAATTCAGATTATTGCAAAACACATACACCTCTCGTTCAAACAAATTATTTAAAGCTATTTCTCGAATTAGTTGTGTGTTATAGATTCTTTGCAAACAGGCAATTAAATAAAAAAAAAAATTAAACAGCAAATATCTTGAATGGAAATATACAGCATTCCCTCTTCCTTTCCTCTCCCCTGTTTTTTTGACTGCCTGTAATTTTGTGATAAACAAGAAAAAGAGGAGGGAGGAGTGGCGCTGTTCTCCGCGAAAGGGATGATGGGATATGTAGTTGTCAAAAGATCCCAGGCAAAGCAAGCAACCCAAAGTAAGACTCCAACTCCCTTAGATCCTTTCTTAAATGTCTAGAGGTTCCCGACTAACCAATCAGCTTAAATAACTCATACAGTCACCGCCCTAATATGGTGTATGAGTTCGCTGATTGGTTAAAACTATGTGCCTGTAGAATTTTTACCATAAACGCTCCTCCCACTTCGAGTTGCTACCTTTTATCGTTTCTGCCCTGTGAGTCTGGTCAGTGTTGAGAGGCAAGGCGACAAGTAACGGTAAAGCAGCTCCGAAGAATGAGGACAAAGTGAGTATTTGTTACTGACACTATTTCTTCTTGGCTCCCTGTGAAGACTTGGTGCAAGCTGAACTTTTTCTCATTGCGGCTTTTGTTATACTTTACGGGTTGTTTTTGAGTGGAAGCACTGATATTAAAGGAAGAGGCTCTCAGACACACTGAATGGACCCAAATAATAGGAGATGTGTCAAGTTATCATTACAAAGGAGAGTTAATGGGATAAAATACCTAAATTATGATACAAAGTCTGTTTAATTTAAATGCCTACACGAGTTTAAGATTACTGGGGATATATATTACTATTAAACATACATACAGGTATCAGTGTTATTAGTTATGGTTTTGCTGTGTCATCTAACTAAGCCTGTTTAAGACAAGACCAGTATTTCTTTTTAATAAATTGTGAAATAAATCTCATGATAAATTACTCCATGATGCATAATAACTGGATTAGTACCAAATTAAGTTCTTAGTGTATGTTAAAGGTATAGGAGGATATTTCATTTCCGGGTGGATCATCAAAATAAGTGGTCCTCCTAATTGTCAATCATTCTGGTGATATGTTAACGTAAGGCTTGTCCTAGTGCTGTCCCACTTAGCTATCTTTTTGTGGGCATGTGCACTTTCAGCAGTGGTGTCAAAAGTTCACACATTTGTTACTTGAGTAGAAGTATAGATATTGCAGTTTAAAAACACTCTGGTAAAAGTTGAAGTATCAACTTGACCTCTTTACTCAAGTAAAAGTGAAAAAGTATGTGCTCCAAAAACTACTTAAAGTATGAAAGTATAAAGTAACCTTTAAAAAATATATATTCTTTGAGATAGGGCCAAGGATGAGGGAAGTCTTGTTGGTCTCCATCTTCCAATACGCTCTCGCCTGTGTCCGACCTTTCAGACATTTCAACATCTTTTTCTGAATCCAACATTGTAGCATGGCATAGACAATTCGTGTTTGCAGTTTGAACAACACCTGCTTGCTTCTGATGATTTCCTTTAGTTAACCAATGAGTGTTTGCGTTATATGACTCATCCAATTACACTAGTTTTCACTAGATGTGGATGGAGCCAATGATCTGCATTGCATGGCGCACATGGTGTGAAATAAATATTTATAACCTTTAAACTGAAGCCAAGAGTAACGAAAGTTGTTTTAAAAATGTAAGGAATAGAAAGTACAGATACTTGTGTAGAAGTCAGAAGTAGGAAGAAAAATAAATAATGAAGTAAAGTATAGATACCTAAAAAGTGTACTTAAGTACAGTAATAAAGTATTTGTACTTCGTTACTTGACACCTCTGACTTTCAGGCATATATATGTAGGGATCTATGCCTTCACACAGTTATTGAACTCGCCTTTCTCACTGCGGGTCTTGGAAAATGGCTGAGGGTCGTATGAGAAAAAGTGTCTACGAAGTGTATGAGAAGAAAAGAAAGGCCTCAGAAGAGGCAGATATATCCTAGAATGCTTTGCGCGGAGAGCTCTCCTCGCAAAGCATTATGGGATTTGCTGTCACAGCGGCCTGCTGTCGTCATAGGCTGTCGCTATCCGACAGCAGCATAAAGAGGGCGCAGGCACCACGCAGTGGGGGAGGAGTTCAGTGACAAGCGGAGCAAAAAGCAGTGATCATCTGTGCAAACAGTAAGTTCAATGAGTTCACTATAAAGTCCACTATATAGTCCTGCTCTATATAATGATTGAGGGATTTAGCAGTTAGAGCGGATGTTCGGGTACAAGATTGTGGATGCGCTTTTTTTTTTTTTTAAGGGGAGAGGGCGGATCTTTTCAAAAATTTGCATAAAAAATCCTCCCCTATACCTTTAACTTTGAGAATGAAGTTCTACTCAAACAGAACAAAATATTTTACAAGCTTAGGCATGTAGACTTACACTTAGGGCTTAGAAAGTTTCCACGCACCGTCCCTGCTGTTTAACATGCTCTAAATAAGATGTCAGAGAAATTGCCATTGTAATGGGAGTATTATTATGCACAGACTAACACATTACTCCCCCCCCCTGATCTGTTGCTGAGCACTGCCAGTCAACTAGCTAAAAAGATGGCTCCCCCTCTTTCCCTCGCTTACCGGAAAGACAAAGTCGGATGATTTGAAATATTTTCAGAAACAAAACACTGTAAAGTTGACAAACAGACTAATTTTCAGCTGATAGAAGCTTTTTTTCACATGCAGTACTGTATGAAAAATTTATACACTGAGCATTTGGAAGGTGTTTAACATTAATTGTTATTTCTATGTATATATCAACAATACTGTAATAAATAAATGTGATGCTTAAAATTAGTATAACTATCATGTTTCAAATCCTTGAGGAAAAATAATGCTTTATTGTGGAGTTTTTGCATTCTAGAGATAGAAATGGCAAATTCCACCACAGAAAATTTCACTGAAAAGACAAAAAGAAATCGGATAATTAAAAAAATATTAGTATTTGAAAAATATTCAAATGGAAGTCTTTTTTGATTATATACAAACATTTAAAAGGAATATAAAATAATGTAAATATCAAAATTACGTTATCCTGATTTTGTGATTGGAAAGGGATTTTTTTCAGTATACTTTATATCTGTATTGTAGTAGGTTTGTTTACAAGCCCCCAGTGTTAGACTGATAAAAATCTCAACCTTTGCCTTTCTACCTTAAACATGTGCCTTAAATATTACAGTTTTTTTGTTTCAAGTTTACTCTTGGTACCAGAAGTTTTAACACATGATTAAAAACACATTGATTTAACTTGTTTTCAGCCTGTTGTAAGGCAGCACAAACATTGGTCCTGCACACAATGACTGAGATGCAGCATCAGGAGTCTGTGGGGAGATGGGATGGGCTCGGCAGCCGTGATGTCGCCTCCAGAGCTGAGGCGATGGAACTCATCTGCCAGGAGGTCATGAGAAAAGTGGAAGCCATCGGCCCTATAAAAGCCGCCACCCCCTCGCCCCCTGCTGTAGGAACCCTTCCCAACAGCGACCTGAACGACATCCTGGTTCACCTTCTCATGCTCTCCAGACGGTGCCCCTTTGAAGATGTCAGCGTGCGTTGTGCTCAGCTCCTGCGAGACATCCAGGTAGGAGAGCTGACAAGGCTGGGCAGCTTTTTGTTATTCTCCAGTGTTAGTTTTATTGTCACTGCTGCCACCTGCCTTCCATCTTTCCTCACCTTCTAATAAGCATTGCAAACATTGTGGTTCAGTGAAACCCTCACAGACTAGAACATGTTTTTTTTTAAAGTTTAAGTCAATGTCCTCCTTAACACAACAAGCACAATTTACCAATTATTCTTTGATCTTTTAAGGTGCTGTGTTTTTTTTTTTTTTGCTCTACGACCCAACCACAAAAAATCGATTAATTGAATAATTCTTTATCTATAAAAAATCTATACCAGTTGACTATTGTATCTCATTGCACTTTAAATTTCAATATATAAAGCTGTGGGTATTAACCTAATGGTGTAATATATACGTTTTCCGACAAGTATCTGTAAACTTCAGTTACGCATATGTTAAAGTGTTATTTACCTTCAAATCAACCTCTTTTGCAGATTAACTGTATAAACTGAGTCTGTGGGATGTTATTTTAATGTTACTGTGAGAACATTGTTGTGTAATTCTTTTAAAATTTCGGGATATTTGTGTGTGGAGCTATTTATTCCTATTGTTTAGAACAGTACACGCTGTTACAGTCATTTCATGTCAATCATGGCCAATCATTGGGGTATAAACACAACTCATTTTGACAAACGCCTCCTTAGTGAGTTGTCTTTTCTGCCTTGTTGGTGAGACAAGCTCCAGACATTGCTAAGAGGGGCGCATCGAAGCAAACAGCTTGAGCTGGTAAAGCTTCACTGGGCTTCATTATGTTTCTCTTAACCTCCACTGCTGTCGAAGTGAAAAATCCTCAACCTCAAAACATTTGTACCAATGCACCTTAAGTAGCTTCTGCTCACAATAAGTTTTTATACTTTATTATCTAGATATCAACTACCTAACAAGCCTATTTCTGGGTTTATTTGACAAACTTGACGTGTTGGGCATCAATATACAGGACTTTATTTTGGAATAAATAAAGCTGTTAATTTAGAAACTTTCAGACTTAACTTTTGGTGCTTTATGCAGAAAGAAGTCAGAACTTTTATCCTCGAAGGGGAGAGGTTAGTGAATGCTGTATGTGTGGTTGAAAAACAAAGCTTTTTTTTTTGTTTGTTTTTCTGTTAAATGGGTTGCCTACCTTTGTTTTATACTTAATATAGTAAACCAAAAGCTCAGGAACCAAAACCTACAGATTTTGTTTAACTGTTTCTGCACCCTGCTGATGTTACCACTTTAATTAAAGTAGCTGGAGTTAGGAGATGTTACCAATGTTGGTTTGCAGGTGAGAAAAAACCAGACTCCCCCTATTATCTCTTATAATTTTTCTCCATAGTCCTCCTTACACAGGTAGCTGTAAGTTTATTAACATGTTAATTGTATCAGCTCATGTGTCTTTTTTTAGTAGAATATCTGTCTTATAATGTATTTAAATGGGTTGCAATTCAATATGTATTCTTTCTGGGCCATTTTTTGCATCTTGTCCGACCTCTTTTTTTTTTTTGGTAAGAAAAAATACAAATCTGGGCATTTTTATTTGCCCTTATTAAATAGGAGTAGATAATAAAACACACTTTGTGAAGAAATAATCTTTATGCTAATTCAACATGGCACATTAGATTATCGCTTTAAAAAAAAAGGAGGAATTATTAAACGTTTTTATACATGTTTTTATATATTTAAACAGGCGGGGGGAAGCATACAGTGACCGGGTCAGTTTCGGTCGCTCTGTCCCCGGCTGGCTCCTTACCAGCTCCGAGCTGATGGCTCGGTTCAAATGCCCGGTCTGGTCCAGTCCCTGGCCCAGAAACTGCCCCCCTATCCTTTCTTTGCCTGTAAGCTATATATGCTGTGATTAGTGGGTAAAAAGTAGTTTTAATATAAGTGAGAAAGTCCACCTGAAAACTTAATTTGTGCAGTCAGTTCACCCAGATTACCATCCTGCATTCAAATATTGCTTCTCTGTCTGAGCCGCTCAGACCCCCGTACATCTCTAGAAATCCTATTCAACAGCAGCCTCTGGCCCGGTTGCCATGGCATTTTAAGTTAATTTAGGTGTTAATAAACTGTTTCAGAGGAGTGATCATAGTGATCTGTATCATCAGCGATGTGTCTCTCTCACTGCCAGCTCCCAGATCAGCTTCTCTGATTGGTTAATGCGGCGCCTCGAGCAGCAAAAGTTCAATTTCTAACTCCAGCAGCAGCTGCGTTAGCAGCGTGTTCTGCACGTCGGATTCTCAGGAGCTCACAACGTGCTGCTCCTGCTGCTCAAACAGAGCTGTGGGACGTTTTGCTGCGCCTTGATACGCGTCAACCATTGACTTTGCATGTAAACTAGCTGCTTCTGCTGCCTTTGCTGCTTTTGGTGTGAACGTAGCATTAGGCCAAATGAACAGCTGAGCTTTTAACTTTGCAGGGATCTTCTGATACCGGTACACAAAAATAATCCATGCCTGTCGACTTTTGGGATCCTTGGGAAGACTGTGAAAAATTTCCCCTTTCTCTTTGCAGCCTGGAACACTGCATTTACGCCCGTGGTCCTGACTCATTAGGAACTACCTGCTTTGTAATACTTGTAGAAGTAAACCCAACTGTAGGCTAAACAGGTATACTGGTGTCTTGCGTCTTCACAACCTCTGTTCATGTTCTTGGTCCAGTGAACTACTGGGCTGGTCTGTATGTCAATTTCTGGGCATGTCAAAAGTACAGGCCAGAACCAAATAAGTGCTCCATTTGGATTTGCCTGTTTTATGGTGGAAGTTTATGAGATTTGGAGAGAAAGGAGCTGTCGATGGGATTTGAACTTCTCTGCACGTCCATTTCACCCACTGAACTATGGTTATTCATCTATGACAGTGTAAACTCTGATTTGCATTCTATGACCCCTTTAAAACTTTACATTAAAAATCATCGCCTCGAAATAATAACGGCTTAAAGCAAAAAAACACATAGCTGTATCTATGTACAAATGTAACGAAAATAGTTATTGGATTGTGAAAATAATGTCCTGTAAGGTTTCACTATAACTTTATCAAAGGACATATTGTTTTTATGCTGGTCCTCAGAATTTACTTTTCATTCATGTAGATACATGTAACATAAATTACATTTTTTTCTGCTGGAAAATGAGGGAAAACACAAGGATGTGACATATCTTTTCTTCTTCTTTTGGGGCCCTCTTCAGTCAACTAATTCCTCTGGCTGTTAGTTAAGATTTGGTTCAAAATTGGTTCATCTGGTAAATTATAAAATATAACCCTCTTTATAAACAAAACCTGAGACAATCTTTTGTTTAGGGTTTTACACAAGACTAATGGCGTCTAACAAAACCATTTTGTTCATTGCTTCACAGAAAGTTCTACCAATAAAAGTCACTGAACTGAAGATATAAAGGCATTTTCTGAGAACTGTATTCACTAAAATACACTCCATCAGAATGTTGCCTAACAGGCTTAGATTGTTTATTACAATAAGCACACTTTGTTCTTACTGGGGTTTTTATTGTCATACAGCAGATTTTTCTTACCTTGCAACACTGCTGCATTCTTTTTCGTTCACAATCATGTGTGAATTCATCTTGCATGGCTCCAGACTAGCTGTTTGTGGGCAAAACACAAATGTTCAGACCAATTAGTGTTCATAACTGTTTACTTGAAACCTGCACCTAAATGCCAGAGATTTTCTCTATCAATCACATGGTGCCATAGCGTCCTGTTTACTTATGTGTGGTCCTTTTATAATACAGTTTTATCTCATATTTTTACACTTTTATGTAGTGCTTGGTTTCATGTTTAAATGGTTTTCTGCTTGTTTTGTTTTAATCTTTGATTTAACAAGCTAAAAAATTAAACGTGCCTTGCCTTGGCTTTACTGGCAGATACATATTGGTTTTATGCTCAGAGCTAAACTTAAACATCAATTTTGAGAACTTTGTCATAACTATGCACAATACTGCTGAATAAAATATTCTATTTTTGTATCAACTCAAGTTGGAGGTTTGTTCTCTATAGGTATGACATATAAAGTTTTCATTTGAAGTATTATTTTTTTTTTTTACTGGATTTACCTTTTTTTATGTGTAATTTGTATCATTGGGTTCTAATGAATTACTCCCAGCATCAAACAAACACCACCTTTAGGTAGCCGTGGCATGTTTGTTTTTCAGAGGAAGTAGGCCATTCCACTGGGGCAGAATTCCTGTTTTTGCACGGAAGTGTTTTCCTAAAGACGGAGGAGAGGGGCTGAGAGATGGTGAGAAAGCTGCTGTGAGGGTTTTAGTGGTGCGCCACAGTACATGCCGTCTGGTGTTTTAGAATTATGCTAAGCTGCATGTGCATGAGGCTTGCCAACAAGCGCATTTATGAGTCTAGTAGCAGCAGCTCACAGAGCAGTTTTGATTTTTATGTATTATTCCTTTCCAACCTCCAAAAAAAAAGACAGACGCACAAAGCGTATACCTTTCCCAAACTTATATGACTTGTATCAAGGTATGTAGAGGGGTCATGGTTCTCAGACAGTGCTTTTAATTTGATTATATCCACTAATTAAATAGAAAATCTACAAAAACAAAAAACAGACAGGCTTATCCTGATGGGTAAGAATAGTGTAGTTAGACAAAATGCAGACTTTAAGCACATTTCTGCAAGGTTCTCACACCTAAAGGTGCTTAATAAACTGCAGAAAAAAGCTAATGACTTTTTAAATTAATAAACCCAAGAAAAAAAATCTCAATTAGGCACTTTTTCAGAGCTTTTTTCAGAGCAGTTCACATTGCATCCATAGCAACAGAATAGTACGAAGTTATAAACTACTTTTGTTAACTTGTGTTGTCCAACAAACATCACAGAACATCTGTATTTCTAATAGACAGGTGGACTCTGTTTACAAATTAGGACATTTTCTAGGCAAATCAAATCAAGGCAAGGCAAATTTATTTGTATACCACAATTCAGTACAAAGACAATGCAAAGTGCTTTACATGA